GATATAGTAATAGTATGGTAGATAGTATGGCAGTTAATGATTATTTAAAATTTTAAAATAGCAAAAATTCACTAAATGATAGCAGTTTAACTTGCCCAAAATTAAACTAAATCTAACCATGGTTAGTTAGTATAGGCCTAGTGGCAGATTTTATAGTAAAACTTGAACTAAATCAGAACGGATCAGGTTTAGTTCTAATTTCTAAGATTTGGACTCGAAATCGCAGCGGTTCGGTTCCAACTGGTTTTAAACTCACCCAAACTCGGACCGAATGCAACTCTAGGAGCGAAGCAAAGCATGCTGCATGTCTTATCACATCCCTTCTTACCTTCCTGTCTTGGCGCTCAATTTGATTAGCAAAGAATCAGGCTTTAGATCCTCTGATTGGCCCACTTTCTAGTATTCTGATTGGCTCATAGAAACTGTTGTCACGAGCTCTCCTCACAATTTGCATTACAAATGTTGTGCCCATCACGCGTACTACTTAGCGAGCTAGCCCCTATCTCACCGCTGGTTAGGCTTCCTAGACAGAGAATCCACCCGGTCTCCAGCACGTCAGTATCTATTAATATCATTACTCTCTTAATTACTACCATTCATAGTATTCTAGACTTGAATATACAGTAAAAAAGGGGGTCTAGAAGGCCCTACCCCCCAGGTAAATATTAATGCCTTTCTTACTTATGTGACATGTCCCTCAGACCCTCTCTCTTAAGCAATTCTAGATATTTACAACCCATACCCGACTAGGGCACTAGGCCACTTAGGATCTAATAATAATAATCAATAATCAAAGTCTCTAGTTGAATATCTGCTGCTTGCTCCGCACGCCTTAGGTGATTATAGACTGGCAATACCTAGTATTCAAACTCCAAGTAGCACTCACTATGTAACCCAAACCACTACAGTCTATAAATATCCTTCTCTATTACACTGGCACAAATCCAATGCCCCTTGGCCTTATGAGTACTCTGTCACATCATTGACCGTCGAGGATAGACTCGGCAATCTTCTCCGCGAACATGTCTGGCATCCATCTTGTTAGTCACCACATCTTCAGAGTTTGGTCTAGTGAATCGGAAATACATACAGACAGTGGCCATGGGGAATCCGGGAGGCACAAACGGGAAAGCACTGGCGTCGACGACGCGCAGCCCGGTCACCCCACGCACACGGGCCCGCGAGTCGACCACTGCGGTGGTGTCATTGGAAGCCCCCATCTTGCCTGTACAAAAGTGATTAGCGGACCTGCACCGCTTGGATAGGTATATAGACCACTTACAGGACGAAGTAGCGTGGTAGATCAGACTCATATTGTTCTTGAGCCACTCAAGAATCTCCGAGCGAGTTGTCACGTTGGGCCCAGGCAGATATTCTTCCTCGACAATCGTACTGTTGAAAGCAATCTCGCGAATCCGCTGAAGAGCGGCAATGGCCTGTTCCTGATCACCCTCGTCAAGGAGCCAGTTGGGGCTGATGATCGGAGGATCAGCAATATTCGCGCTCTGGATGGTCAGATTGCCCCGGGCAGAGGTGGTGAGCAGAGCCGAGCCAATGGTGAGATAGTTGTCATTGGGGCCCAGGTCGGACGGGTATGAGCCATACTCCAAGGAGAGATAGTTGACCTCGGGCCAGTCTCGGGGAAAGGTGTCAAGGAAATCCCGGGTGGACTGGCTGAATTCCTGACGATAGGACTCCGGGAATTTCTCAAATGCCAAAGCTTGGCCTCCTCCAATGCTGGAGAGCAAACCCGTTTGGTTGTACAGATATTCCTCCACTCGGGCCGCAGAGAACTCGGCATTACCTGCAGCCACTTGGGTACCGGTGGTCACATTGACCTTGTACGACAGGGCCATCCAGGGTTGATCCTACAGCATACTCATATGATTAGCGCTGCGCTATCGCCACAGGAGAAATTCCTACCCTCGCTCCCTGACCCACTCCGGGCAGGTCCACCACAACGGGGATGTTGTACTTCTGCAGAGTCTCCGATGGGCCGATGCCAGACAGCAGTAGAATCTGGGGAGAATGCCACTACCGAGAGATAAGTATTAGTAGAAACAGAACGATGTTACCGAGTAGATGACTTACGGTACCGGCGGAGACAATGACCTCCTTGTTCGCATTGAGCTGATACTTGAAGTTGGCCACCAACGAGTTTGTCTGCACTTCGACGCCCGTGGCGCGCTTGTTCCCATCAAACAGAATCCGAGAACCCATCGTTTGTGGGTACAGTTTGATGTTCGAGTTCTGTGCCGCAAGCTGCAGAAACGAGGTTTCGGAGCTGCTGCGAGTTGCTTCCTTGGGATCAATGGCGGCCGTGATAGTAGCATAACCGATCAGTCGGCCACTGTTCAGTCCTGGGATCCGTTCGAATCCGAGCTTGTCGAGAGATTCTTCCAGATACGGGCCGTAGGGACCGAGATAGTTGCCGTACGATACTTGCAGGGGTCCTCCACCGCTCTCAAATGCCGACGCATCGTAGGAAATGTTGAAGGATGGATCGATCTTCTCATAGTTGGGCCGGGTGAAGTTGCAACTTTTCTTGTACGCAGGATACACGTTGTCCCAGGACCAGAAATCATCGCCAACGACCTTGGACCATTCATCGAACGTGCCCACGGTGGCTCGCGCATATCCCATGTAGTTCGAGGCTGAGCTGTTTCCGAGTCAATTCATTTTCTGGTGATACAAGGTCTAGGGACCATTCCCTACTGACCTTCCGCCGAAAGTCTGGCCGGCAACATACATGATCTCGCGACCATTGTAACCCTGCATTGCCATCAGTATGCCAGGCAAAAGCCGCCATCTGACAGTTGACCTACCCCTTGAGGTGCAGTCTTCAACCCGAAGTTGGTCAGGCTTTCGAGAGAGCCCCCCACAAAGTTGGCCAGCGCCGAGTAAAAGTCATAACCGGGAACCTGGGTGCGATTAGAGTTGAGGATCTCATAGAACGAACCGGCCTCCACGACTGCCACCGAGTAATTGGCCGGGTCCAGGGCGAGTCGTGCGGCAATCGCATTGCCCGCTGTACCCCCTCCAACCACGATGTAGTCATAGGTGGCATTGACTCCGGGCTGGCCGAATGAATTTCCGAAGAGCTCTGTAACGCCGCTGGGAGAAAGACCCACGCCAATGGTGGCCAGGGTGGTGGGGAGGAAGCACAGAGTGTAGAGAAGGGTAGTCATTGTGCCTGGTTGCATATGCAAATCCGCCCGATGCAGGCTCATGCATGAATTAGCGACAGGTACCTGCGTCTACCCTTGACAGATGGAATCATGGGATATATATATTGCTGCAGTTGACTCGTGGAGAGCCTCATCTTTCGGTGAGTTCGGCCCGAGTTGCTGTGTACAGCGGGACGGAATTGCCGGACTATTGGCATAAATACAGGACAGACGAGGGGGCTGGGATGATGGCAGTATTTGCAATAGCATCTCACGTGTATTTTCTAGCATACGAGACCTCCAAGCCACATCGCCATGGCACCAACAACCCTCGGCAGCCTGAAGCCGGTTCTATACCTGCTTAGTGTGTTAGGGACGTACCACACTTGGGGCCGGACTGTCCTGGATGGGTCAGTGTCCCATCTGCTTACGGCTCTGCATGGATCGAAACCCTATGTGCTGCCTGGAACCGAGTCTCCACTCCGAACGCGCATTACGGGCATCTACTGGCCAATCGATTATCTCTTGGATGTACTCATTGTGTTTTTCTGGGAAGCCGTGGATGGATCCCATCCGGCCACTTCAGCCGTCGGCATTTACTTCTTGGCGCAGTATTTTAGCGTGCTGACAGGGGTATATGTGGATAGCCTGAGACTGGGCCAATCCGGGAAGACGACTCCTACTCGGTGGGTTCTTCTCTTCTTTTCGGCGCGATTCTGTCTTTCTGATGTTTGATCCTGCTGACACTCGGATGCCAACTCAGGACGATGCTGTGGCTACTGCTGTTCCAACTGTCGGCTATCGCCTGTACGGGCCCCTTCTGGGCTCTCTGGTACCTTGCTAACAGTCCTTTAATTACGAATGGCATTCCATTCGAGGATTTGTGCAACAAATCCAGAGCCCCGGCCCGCCAAATCATACTGATTCTTCCTAGCCTGGTCCTGGGTTATCTTCTTCCCGCGGTAGCTATGGCGCTCCCCTCCCCTGGACTCGTGTCCAATGACTTTCAGCAATTGGCACTGGTAGCGTGGAACATCTTTCCAGCCCTTGTCTATCTGACCATGCAGGTCCTTCACGTGCTCCTACCTGCTGGCACGGTGAATAAGGAAGATGCTACTAGGAGGTCTGCAATCCGCATTCTGAACGCGACATCCCTCTTGATCAGTTTTGTCGTCCATGTGGGTCTCATGAGTATCAGCATCACTACGATTCTGTTCCCAAACCTCTGGACGCCCGAGACTATCCATGAGTTCCACCCAGTTTCGCTGCTGATCCCACCGGTCTCTGTTACCGCGACACAGACAGTTGGGGACGGGGTGCACAGTTTCTTCCTCTGGGATCAAGTCTTTGGATATACTTTGGGCATCCTAGTTGCCTGGTTACAGCTGCGGACTGTTCTCATTGCCCGAGGCTGGTATCGGCAATGGCCATGGCCAAAGGTCCTGTTGGGGATTGTTGGTGGGGCAATGATCGCAGGACCAGGGAGCGTGTGCCTGGGCCTCAACTGGATCCGAGATGAACTGTTGATGCCATCAGCAGAAGGAAGCCAGAAAGAAGAGTAAGTGGGGGTCCAGAGGGAGCAGTGGAGGGCCTAAGACAGTAGGTTCGGGCCATCCGGGCCGAGGTGGATGTGTGACTTGATGGGCTGCAGGTGGGAAGCACAGTGTTCTAGACCAGATAGTCAGATCATTATTTTGCAATAATAGAATATAGCCAGAGCATGTACAATAAGATGGTAGGCTGCTAACAGGCAATTCCTGTTACCATTCTCGATGGTTCTCCATAGGCAGGTGCTAAAGCGTGCTGGCTAACCTATTGCGGAAATACCCCAGCAGGCTCCCGCTGCATGACTCGTGCAAGACGAATGAAAACCACCATGCATCCCTGTCAAGGAGTGCTAGAAGCTTCCTTCTCCCAATTTTTCTACATCCTGGAAACAAGGAGCGCCGGGGAATCCTCCCCGAGACTAAAATAACGCCCTAGTCATGCAGCTACGAAGCACAAGGGAGGCGCCACATACATCACCGTCTTACTCATCCTGAGAGGTATTGAGACGTAACAGCGGTCTGGATATTGGTCATTGTATCTGTACGCATTTCCACAGGGGACAAAGAATCTCCAAACATATATACTACTCCCCTTGAATAGCTCAACGAGCACGTTTCCTCAGCCCTCGCAATCATTTCTTTCGTATTGTATCCACTGTCATACTCGTTATTGTCCTCATCATGCCGGCCCCCTACAGTACTCATACCACCACGGACGAACTTGTGACTGATTACGCCTCCCTTATCAAAGGTAAGGTCATTCTGACCACGGGCGTTTCCTCAGGCTCCCTTGGTGGCTTCTTCGTCCAATCCATTGCCAAGGCTAAGCCTGAGTGGCTTATCCTGGCCGCTCGCAATGCCGATAAACTGGCCCAGATGGCAGCCGAGGTCACCAAGGCCCAGCCTGAGGTGAAGGTCCGTACACTGCAAGTTGACTTGGGCTCCTTGAAAAGCGTGCGGGATGCAGCCGCACAGGTCAACTCCTGGGATGATATCTCTGTTATTGATGTCCTGGTCAACAACGCGGGAATTATGGCAGTGGATTACAAGCTCTCCCCTGAGGGATTCGAGTCCCATCTGGCAACGAACCATCTGGGGCCGTTCTTGTTCACCAATCTGCTCATCAAGAAGATTGTGGCCGCAAAGGAACCAAGAATCGTTGTTGTCAGTAGCGATGGCCATCGGTTGAACCCGTTCCGGTTCGATGACTATAATTTTGATGTAGGTCGTTCCATGACTGCTAGATATCCACCACGAACGTCTGGAACACTAACAAAGACGACACAGGATGGGAAGACGTACAACCGGTGGTACGCCTATGGTCAGAGCAAGACCGCTAATATGCTGTTCGCTATTTCTCTGGCTCAGAAACTTGGAATAAAATATAATCTCCAGGCATTCAGCCTCCACCCAGGAGTCATCTGGACCAATCTGGGCAATCATTTGGACTGGAATGTTGAGTTTGGGGAACTACGTAAGGCGATGATTTCACTCATTTCTCGCACAGATTAGCCTTTACTGACTCTCGCTAGGCAACGCGGACAAGTCTCTGGGTAATCGGGAAGGATGGAAGGATTTTGATGCCAAGCCACTGGAGAGAGGTGCCGCCACCCATATCTACGCAGCATTTGACCCAAGTCTCAAGGGTATGTCTCCTGTAAGGATCGCATTGTGTTACAGCGACTAACCGTTCGGTAGCCAACAACGGGGCCTACCTGCTCGACTGCCATGTGGCCGATCCTCTGGTAGACACGGTCAAACCATGGGCCACCAGTAGTTTCGAAGCCGAAAGACTATGGAGACTGAGTGAGAAGCTGGTTGGGCAGGAGTTTTCCTACTAGTGATGTAGAAGATGTCGAACTTGGATACGAAATTGATTGAGTCGAGACGTAGGTCCTTGCTTCTTGTCTGACCTCTTCTGCGGGTATCTGTCCTAGTTATACGTGGAACTATATAATAATCGCAAGTCTAAGGCTTTGCAACTTGGACTTTACTACTACAGTATGCTCAAGCTATATCACAATTAGGTACCTTGCCTTCTGCTTGTTAGTAAATTATATAACTAAATAGACAGACTATAAGCCAAGAACAATGCTGTCAAACATCCTGCCAAATACACTGTCAACCTGCTGACAAAAGCCATCTTCTTTGCTTTGTCAAGGGAACGACTGTCTTTCTCGTCCTCCCACGCCAGCCGGCCTCGTGCAAATCCCCGATCCACCTCGACATAATCCAACTTCGGTGCCTTTCTGATCAGTTCGCCCAATTGATCCGTCAGTTTGTGATCAGCTTGGAAGGGGAGCACCCAACAGGCCAGGACCTTTGGCAGGGTCCCATCCCATGCCTGGACTCTGGTGATCAGCGAGGACAGTTCCATTATCTCGTGCATCCGCTTCTCTCGGTCTCGCTGATACTGGTCAAAGACCCTCCCCAGCGTAGCCCGGCTGACTCGGCCACCGTGGTGAGCTGCCAACGTCCGTTCCAGATGGTTGCATAACACCACCACGGATTCCATTGTGGAGTTTCCTCCAAGCGCGATGTTTGGCGTGACTTTGTGGACAGAATCGCCAGCCAACACTATTCGTCCGTGCGACCAGTGCTGTAATATCCCCTCTTCGAGAGAGATCAGAGAGCCCCGGATCCGCTTCTGCCAGATCTCCCCAAACACGAGCGTTTCGCAGATGGGATGGCTAGCAACACTAGCGGCCAATGCTTCGGCATCTGCATCGGTATATCGTCTCCGTTCTGGCCAGTGGAACTCGTGTTCCAGCCGGAAGAACACGAAGAAGAACAGCTTGTCCGGCTGCGTGAGGAACAGAAACGAATACCTGTCGTCATGCACCACCGTCATGTCTCTTTCGCCCAGTTCCGGTGCTGCTGGCCCCATTCCCACTAGACATTTCCACCTGGTGACCATCGAGGTCTTCTCCTGCGCCGTGATAACCCGCGGAATCTTCTGGTTGGCCAGGTCCCACATTCTCTGTTTAACCAGGCTGTGCACGCCGTCGCAGCCCAGCACCATGTCGCCTCGTTCGACGGTCCCGTCGTCGAGGATCACTTCGACCCCGTTGCTATCCTGAGTCACATCACGGACTCTGCATCCGAGTTTAATGAAAGACTTGTTGGGGAGGCAATCGTACAGAATTTGCAAGAATTCCCTCCTTTCGAGGAGGAGAATGTCCTGTCCATGGCTGTCAAGCGTGTCAGCACCCCTATGTCGAGTTATACTGCCTGAATTTGAAGAGAAGGCATAACATACTTGGCTTGAACATTCCCGAAGAAGTCACTATTGATCCAGACCTTCCCATCTGGTCCCCTGGTGATGAATCGCTCGCAGGGGCGACAGGCCGCCTTCGCCGCCTCAAGGCACCCGATCTGGGATAAAATGCGTGCTCCATGCGGGTAGATGGCAATACTGGCCCCAACTGGGGGAGCCACTTCTTTTGATCTTTCAAGCACAACGTGATCGATTCCTGCCTTCTGGAGGGCATGCGAAGCTGTAAGCCCGGCCACGCCGCCGCCTACAATGATGACACGGAAGTTGGATATCATCTCGCAGTCGTGTGTTGGCCTTCTGACCGCTGACCCTGAAATGGTACAACTCCCAGGGCAGAGGGGGGCTTATTTGTCGCCAGAGTATTTCTTGAGTCACGTTTCCAGTGACAATCTAGGCATAGGCAGTGCATGGATGAGTTCTCTGCCAAAGATGAGACAACCTCGGGCCGAGCTGGTATAAATTTTAATCGTCACCAATGAAAGCGATGATATGTCTGGAAGTAGAATAAGGACCGGTCAGAGCTCGGTCCGAAAGAAATAGTATCCCGAGCACAGTCATGTTCAGCGGTGATGAAATACGGATATTAGCCCATATCTCGACAGCTACTTGTTCCCTTTGCTTATTTCTTAGGCTGGAGCAAAAGGCGAGGTACCCAGTATTCAATCTGAGTATTAGAACACGGTTTGGAAGTCTTAACTCCATGCAGCGGTCGTTGTAGGCTCGGCCCGAGTCCACCGAGGAGTTACAGGTGGCAATGGCAAAAGAACATCTCTTGATCTCAAATTGAGGTTATATATAGTTTATCTGCAACCACCATTGCCCGTTGTATAGCTCACCTATTTTGCTTCAGCATGTAGTAATACCTGACATGAAGCTGCGTTCAAGAAATCTGGTGGCATTTAAGGCGCGGTGTAATATATAAGGTTTAGCTTGAGGAACTTAGTAAGAAGTATAATTATATAGTTCTCGAAAACGATTGCATTCACTGTATTGACGGTGACGGCTTGGATTACAGTGTCCCTTAGGTGATGGCACATGCTGAGATACGTATCGGATAGAAGCACAACTATCATGGACGCTTGGTTAGGTTAGAGAACGAGAGTTAGTCACTTAAATGGCTGGTCTCCAATGGGAGAAATGGTTGATACAGAATTTTTAAGAACAGATAACTCAGATAACTACAAGCTTGTACCAGGTTTTAAGGTTCTTGTGGCTGCGGGTGTGTACAACTTCATCTTTATAGGCACCGACATTCATATATATATAGCATGATAGTCAATTTCGCAGGCTACAGAACTTATCCTCCCACTGCTACAGACTAAGATTTATGGCCATTTGCAGGACCGGATTTTGTGCCACCATGTCTTGCGAGATATTCATCAATAAACCCATTGAAATCCTCCGGCTTATAAGGCTCCAGCAGCTCAGCCACTTTATTGGTCTTGCGGCGGCTGTTCAACCCGAGGTCGTGAAATAGAGTGTCAACGTACTACACCATCATTAATACCTCCTATCGAGCATGAGACAGACTTTGAAGGAGTACCTACCGGGAGAAACTCGTACAGAGAGTAGGGAAACTTGTGCCCCTGCGTAAGATACCTCTTCCGAGTCCAGGCATTCCACAACGAGACTTCCCTCGCCATCTCATCCGCACTAGGCAGGTCGAGTTCCCCAAGAAGATACAGTATACTCCAAAAGGACTGCACCTCGGAAACCAGGGGTGTCTGAACGGTGTGGATCTGCCCTAGGATGGCGATGGACCGGTCCCCTTTCAGTGCAAGTCCGACAGGGATCGCGCGACGATACAACCTCCAGTAGCGATGGGTCCCAATGCGGTGGGTATACTTCAAATTGGGCGGATCAGCAAGGAACGGCAGTTGCTGATCCACAGCTCTCTCGGCCTCGGCGTCATATTTCTTCCAGTTGACACCGTCGCTGGAGGACGGCTCAGCGGGAGTGGATAGAGGAAGTCCCAGTTCTGCCTTTGTCTTCTCATCGAACATGCCAAAGTGATCTCCCCAGCCAGTGCAGAGGACCAGACAGTCCGTCCGTAGAGTCTGCCCGGACTGCAGGGAGAGATTATCCCCCTTGATGGTGCCAATGGCATCCCGGAGCACGGTAAGGTTGGGACTATGCAGTGTTGGCCAGAAATCGGGAAGGGTGACGACTCCCAAGCCGGAATTGGCCCAGAAGACACTAGATTAATAGTTCGTTAGCCTACGATCATGCTATATGGCGTAGGAAAAAGTCACCTTTGTCGGTCAATTTCCGGTCTCAGCATCTGAACATGATCGCCTTTGGAGTATCCCGCATGGGCGTGACTCAGGTAGGTGAGTGTATCCCAGAATCTACCGACGCACCAACGCCCCACAGGGTTTCGCTGAAACGCCCAGTATAACGGTCCCTTGGTGTTTAGGATGGACGGTGTCAAGTACGTCATGAGACGGGTAGATGCGACGGCGATTGAGTTCATCAGCCCCAGAATCTTGAATGGCAGGATCGCCAGCGGACCAGCACCATCGCGCCGGATGATCCAGGTCACCCTCTTGCCCATTGAGAGAAGTAAGTAGACAGCGTCATAGGCGGATTTGGCCGCGCCAACCACAGCGACGTGCTCTACGGACGGGTTCTGCAGCATGGGGTACGAGATACCCAGATCCCGCGAGTGAATGATGGGAACTGTCGCGGTCTTGGCGCCGGGGTACTCAGGAATATAAGGAATGGATGTCACACCCGTGCAGACGAGTAGCTTCTCCGCTATGATCACGTCTGTGGAGTCTTTGAAAGTCAGACGCCATCCATCGTCTGCCCGGGACGCGTTGGTAACGAAGGTGTTGAAGCGAATCCGGCGCAGCAGATCATGGTCCTCCGCGTATTGCTGGAGATAGTTATGGATCATGTCTCCGGTGACCCGCTCATCTTTTGCGTTCCCACCGTTGGGGGACATGGCAGTATCGGTATAGTTAAACAGCTATCAAAAGAAGATCAGTGGTGGCGTTATACAAGGAATCCAGACAACGGAGTCACTCACCCCGAGCCTAACTTGGGCGACAAGGTTAGGATACACTCGGTCCCGACTCCAAACCCCGCCCACCGTGCTGTCACTGTCAATAATAATGAGGTTGGCCGCAGGTCGCAGACGAAGGTATGTTCTGGCGGCCACCAAGCCATACCATCCTGCCATGTATTTTAGCTTCATGGCTTCACAGATGACACTTCATTAGGGAGGGCCATACCTGCTCCAATAATCGCGACGTCAACCTTCTGCACGTTGTTTGGAATCATGGTAGGCCGCGTTATCGTGGTTTAGACCGGTGGATGACAAGCGCGTTTTCCATGGGCTGCCTACATCTTGATATATCTGTTCAATCGTTGATACAGCGCCAATCAAGTCGACTCGGTCTGGAGGAGACAAAGCGAGACCAGTTACACCGAGCTGCAATGCCTGCATTGTATAGTGACCACATGAGCGGCCACACAACTCGGTCGGTTCGGCCCGAGTCGGTCAACGTCGCTGATGGTCAATGCAGTGACATTAATATGGTATTTTTGGCTACAGTAGAGCACAGACTTAGACATGACAGTAAAACGTTGACCATTTTGTGGTCGATAGTCTATGTCACAACGATATGGTCCTGGAATGCTAAACAAAGAATAACAAGTAGAAAGATTGACTGAATAGAAAGACAGAAGATAAAGCTAAAATCTTTGCATGGTACAAGTTTCAGGGAGCCAGTTTATGAACGCCGTTGAAGGTCCAGCGCCGAACGAATATCATAAAGTGTACTGAAAAACGTAGTAATGTCAGCCTCTGCCGTCTGCAACTCGTGCTCTAGCAACCCCAACTTCCATTTATATGCATCGAGATTACCCAAAGAGCCCTGGAGGTTTTGGAACTCCACCCAGTGTTTTGTATTGGCGAGATTGGCTGTCTCGCGCAGCCGGGCTTCGAGGATCTCCAGAATCTGAGAGTAGTTGATATCCGGGGTCCGCCGGGCCCAAGCCAGATACTCGGCCACGGCGGTGGTCATCCCAGCAATGTAGACCTGGTTGGTGAAGGTCGCCGACACATAGCGGATAAGTTCACGGAGGATTGCGCATCCGTCGTCCAGGGGCTGCGGTGGCCCCGGCCGAGGCTGCTGCTGTAGCTGCTGTCCATTCATAGCCCGAATAGCGCGAAGGGTGGGCAGAGAAGGACTGGGTGGGCGGCCCTCCACTGGTGCCGAATCGGTGGAAATCCTTCCCGGATCAGGCATGGCTTGCTCGTCCAGTAGTGGGGGGAAAGCCAGGGACCAGGGCAACGAGAGTGGTGTCTCCTCCGCCGTACCCGGGCCCAGTACACTGGTGAAGGGACTCAGCAACCCCGCCAATTCGTCAGGACTAGGAATCGTTGCGTCGACCCCTGAGCCGTCTCCCAGGGGTGTCTCTGGTGTTGATAAAGCCGGCCGGGGCTTGTCCATGTGCGAAGAAGGCGGTGGGGAGGTCTCGATCGACGACAAGGAAGGCGTGGGAACAAAGGCTGCACCATAGCGGTGGGAGGTAGGACAAGATACAGGTGATGAACAGTTGAGCTTTGCCTCCGCTCGGGCTAGTTTGGGTTTCAGAGTTAGCAGACGGTACTTTTCGCACTGTAACCACCAGAGGAAGAAATGCACATATAAACCTCGTTCCAGACAAGCACATCTACCCACCTAGACGCTCTTGCAAGTTATCAATTTTGGCGAGGAGATCGTTCTTCGTTTGGCGAGCAGACTGCACATAAACGCATTTCTCCCCATGTCGCTTACATGTCTCGCACGATGGCTGTCCCCCATCGCAGCGGACTTTGCGTTCCCGGCAAGTTCGACATGCCATATGTCGGGACGGAGCTGTCATGGTGCTGGCAAGACAAAGGGTCCGTTCGGGTGGGATGAGGCTCAAGGAAACGGAGTGAAAATTTATCTAGAGACAGGGAGTTTCCCTGTCCTGGAATGACATGGTCATTTATCATCGTGCTGTGCAATCAACAAGGCCCGGAGAGCATTTCTAGCATGCTTACATGACGTATATTACGCATGGAAGCGATCTGCAATTGTGCAGAATAAATGGTCCAATCAGCGACAAAAAGACATCCCCGGCTGTTGGTCGAAGTTGCTCCTCAGCATACTCCTCGACATATCCATTACAGCTAACTTGCAGCCTCAACACGCGAGCCGAGCTTCTTATCTTAGATCTGATGGACAACGCCTACAGGGGTCACTATGGAGCCATTTCTGACTTTCCTCAGCCAGCAGTAGAGAGTATTTTCGATCGACTTTTCCCTGCCGAAAAGCATGTCACAGCGCAATATCCGGTAGAGAGATCCTCCATCAAGTGCAGTCCTGAGACCAGATGCCCCTGGCCTAGAAATTTGCGCTATAGCTACAGCGAAAAGATAGGACCGGTAAGTATATAGGCATCAATTTCCGATTTTTATTGTACATCTGCATAGATGCATACAGAAGCCATTGGAAGCCTCAGTATCATAACAAGGCGATTGGCCGGTTGGGTGGGAACGGCTCCAACTTACCCCAAGTTCCAATTGACGCGCTGCTGAAGGATTCATATCCCTGTGTCGGCCAAAGGATGGTGTCGCGTCGTCGTTGTGGGGAGAGAAACCAACTGTGTGAAGGTAGACAACGCAGCTGACCTAGTCTCCTTGTTCGAAACAAGCGGCAGGGGGCGAAACCCGCTGGCTATTAGTCACCGGAGCAGGCCAATAATGGAGAGATACTACTGGAGGCAGCAATATGTGATTATGCTCGCCTATACTTCGTGCCGTAAGAGTCCCAATCCACCCAGGCTATCCGATCAGATTTGGCAGGACTCTAGGAAAGGTCCGGGTGGATAGAAAGCACTGCTGCTGCGACTATGCACTTTTTGCTTTTTCTCTCATGCATTGACCCTGCCTATTTCCAAGTATTTTGCATCTGGGTGGTGGTCTAGATTAATGGGAGTAAGCACTAAGCAGTAATATGACATAACCACGAGAACACGTTTCGCTTGGCAATCTCACCCCTTTGTGTCCAAAACCAAATCATGCCTATAGGATATCAAAGGTTTCCTTGCTGGATCAGAGGAATACGCCCTCCAGGTCCTGATAAGGTCTCTGAGTCTAATCGTTGAAGACTGATGGAGTAACAATTGTGTTGCAGTGAGGCGAGCACGGATCCAGTCTGCTGCCGACGGGACTCGGCATATAATTATAGCCTAATAATAAAGGTGCATGGCACCATAGTATCTGACCCCTGAGGATTCAGATCCTTCAGGAGCTAGTCGCAGAAACCTACGCCATTAATTTAGAGCCGATGGAAATCGTTTCGCTTCTCCTAGAACATTCCATATGGCGACATCATCACGCGCCGACATTCCGATGGCTGCCGTGAAGAAAGCATCTACTGGGATGTTGGACGGCTGGAATTGAGCCATTTTGCTTTTATCGATTCTAACCATCCTGCAGATATCCAGAATGGGGCATATAGTGACCTTCTGGTGGATTTGCCGAGGTTACGGGCCGTTAGCTGCCGCCATCAACACAGTTACGGTGGCGTCAAAGTCAAAAGGTTAAAACAACTTTCAGAAAGCTAATTCTTTTGGACGCCGGCGAAGATTTCTCTGTGAAAATCAGATTTCAAGTACCATTGACATCAAGCTCGGGCCTCACTCCGACAAGTACAGTCGTCGTCGCCCATGCTCGGGCCGAACATGACACAGTCTCCCCGACAGTGATCTTCTGGCTCGCCCTTTGACATGCACAGAAGCAGCTCCCAGGAAAATTCGCAGCCGACGTGATATAAAGGGCATCCTCCAGCCGTCGGATACAGGGTCAAGGGATGATACAAGTCAGACGATCGCGTAGCAAATATATCTGCCCAGGATGAGTCCTCCGATTGTCAACTTTCCCAGCCTTCAACCCGCCATTGTCTGGAAGGTCAATGCGGGTGCCGCTCACCCAGTTGGTACGTTGCAAAATTCCCCGAATGAGGGAACGCCTACACTGACCGCTGATCATTCCGAGTTCAGGACCCCGTCAGAGTGGCTCGACCTTGATACATTTCGTAAGAGTCCCTGGGCGGAGTATGTCGTGCTGGAAGGGTGACTAACAGAGGTGAAGGAAACTCCCACCGGCACCATTGAAACCGTCGAGGGATTTGAGCCCCAATTCAAAGGCAAGGTCGTATTCGGTGCTGACTGGCTCGAGTTCGATCCGGACCAGAAACATGCCCGTATCAACATGAAGGCAATTGCCACGTATGTGTCTGGTGCTCCGGTCAATAATGGAAACTGACAATGCTGCCAGAACCGATGAAGGCAAGGAGATCAGTTTTGGATACACAGGAGTCATTGCGCTCAACGAGGCGGTCATGAAGATCTTCAATCAAACGCCAGATTCGGAGAGCGTCCCATTCGGCTTCAGCAGTGAGTTTTCCTTCGGCATATTGTGATTGGGTCTCTTTGTACTGAGCAATGCGGCAGCGGGAGCACACTCTTTCTTCAGCGGTGACCCATCCTTGAAGGAACTGGAGAATATGACCCTGGTCGGCAATGGGCGAATGCTAGTGGATCCGGAGACTCGTGTGATTACCGTCGAGTCTCGCATCTCGAGGGTTATTCCTGCAACGGGATTCGATTAGATGACCGGGACCTCTGAATATCTCTGCTCTCGAGCACGGCATAAGGTCAGACTACGCATAAGTAGTACGTAATGTATTTATTTGATGGCAAATTACTTTCGTTATCTGCACCAAGAGATACATCCGGAAAAAGCCATGCCGAACGTTCTTAGTTTTTCACTGCTTATCCCTAAGCTCTGATTATAGTGGCATACATTTATCTGAGCCTCGTAGTCTGAGAAGCCGACACACAGCATCAATCCTCTTCATTCTCCGCCTTTCAACCGTTTACTATGGTCCATGAGAGTTTGGAGAGCAGCATCCCATACGGGGTCATCGTCCTTGACCCTCCTTGTACACAACCATATGCGGTTTAGGGTTTTTGGTCCGGATAGCGTCCATAAGCAAGTCGTGGTCCTCACAGTCTCTGTACTCTTTATTAGTGGTGTAGGATGCTTCGACATACACCCGTACCATCCTTCTCTCAGGCGGAATGATCCTAAAGTTCCCAAATTTGGTTATGACCATGTTCCGTTTGCAGAGGTCAATGGGATCACGGATGCCGTGGGCTTTTTTAAAATGAAGGCCCATAAATTGAGCAGTTTAGTCAACCAGCAGGGTCACTCCGGTCTTTTCGCAAGGGCAAAGTTGGGTCTTGGAGGGAGCAATTCACTGCCAAACAGACGGAGGCCTCTGATTCAATGTACCAGGATCGCATGGCTGATACTGGTCTATCATTCGGCTTTGACTAGCCTCCAGCCGTCGTTGTAGTGGGTCTTTATGAATATTACACAAATATTGACCATGGCTAAAAGGTTCATTGGGAAGTTGATGATGCATGGCGTCACCCTACGATTCTTCCGTAATAAGCCATCACTGGTACACCTGGGGAGCTTTAAGTTGGAAGTTGTGGAGGCAAGTAGCAAAAAATATAGAGGGTAGTATGTACTGTATATTTATTTTTATTGGACTCTTGCAGACATGTATTATGTCACAATATTCTACCCTCTGAATTTCTAACCAGCGAGCAGTTTAATATCACATGCACACTTGCAATAGCTCCATTCAGGGGACAGTTCTGGTGCTACCAGGAAGTGGCGAGTCTCTTGTGTTGAAGCAGCTGTGGTGTGTGACCCATGGATGCTGTGCGAGAGAGCCATGCCATTTTCCAGCCTTGCTCGGTTACAATGTCAATGCCAAAGAGAAACCGAGACCGAACTGTCAGGTCCAGGATAAAGTAGAGATGTTCCTTGAAGAAGGTAATTTTGCCCTGCACTGTGCCCTGGTTAAGGCGCTCGACGAGGTCATTGAAACGCTTTTGGTAGCTCTTCCTTAGCTGGTCCCTCGCCTCCTGCGGCCATTCGGTTTGTGGGAGCCAGCCAAGATTGAGGTCAGTCTGTATGGTATCCTAAAGGAATACCCGCTATCGTGGCAAGGTAGGACGTTTGGTTGTTCATCCAGGGCGAGTATCCGGCCGAACAGATTCGATGCTGTACGCGGATAGGTGATGAGCCAGAAACGTCTTGGAGTTCCATTAGCCATGATGATATTACCGTTGTGTTGTCCGTAGGTTATAGACAAATCCGAGTGTACAATAACTCTCTAATATTTAAATGCATAGTTGGATTTTTTTTATTGCCATGTGAAGCTGTATAAACCACATGCTTGAAGCTGGACCTAGTCCATTATTTCAGTTTATTTTCTATGCAAGGGGTTCAAGATGTTTTCACCGCTACCTCACCAGGGTCACCAGGGCATCTTTATTTCAGCATTGACCCTGCTATGATATGGGCCAGTGTGAATTTGACTGCATGGGTCACTAGGTAGCAGTGTTCAACACCACCTGCTCTATTTTAATACTTTAACACACTCTCCAGAGAAAGTAGCGGCAGAATGAATTAGCTGGAAATGGCACAGAACGCGCCGTAGACTCCGAAAGCCGACCCATTTATGTCCTTGATGACTGCAGAAGGAATGATTATCTTGGGCCAACGAATCAAGCCGATCTTTGTAACCCGACAGTATGTGCTGATGGGTTTGTCCGTTCTTCTGCTCCAGGTTAAACTGGCTTGATTTTAGCAGTTACAGAGAGAATGTTCAGATAGCTAGGCTACTGCATGTTTACTGGTACCGAGCAGGGACCAGGGCAAAATGAATGAGGAGAATTGCATCAGTACATGTTCTGGAAGACGTATCACATTGGGATGCGACTTCGCTCCAAGTCTTACCCACTGATACCCATGCGCCTTCAGAATGCTGGCTGTCTGAAATTAATAGACCAAATGATCTGGCAGCCTTTTCTTCGACTTATTTAATACTCGCTATCTGCACGCCCACCCTCTAGGTAGCCGCCTGGCTGCATTATGTATATTAAGACTCACCAAAATAGCCACCGACATTTACCAGATAAGGATGCAAAGGCAGCAAAGTTGAATTGGGAACTGGGCTTAGAGCGGTATTGGGGCCTTGCGTCCTGCAAGCTACAAAATAGATATGTCCACCCGATGCCCCTAAATCTGGAAATTTCTAATATGTGTTTTGTAAATCATCTTTCATTGCACAAGCCACGGCAAATTTTGCCTGTTTGTAGGAGCTTGACCTATTTTGAATTTGATCTATTCCCTTCACTATCTGTCGATTGTTGCACAATATGGCTACTGGCTATGATGACGGCTGTATCAAGCCGACTAGATCCCAACTTGCCTATATTTACAGTGCCAGAGGTTAACAGGCCAAAGCATTATGTATCATCCCCTGTGCCAGTCTCAAGGCAGTAATAGTTACTTTAGTTATGAGGACAGAAATCACTATCATGTGCCTCCTTCACAAACCAACCTATGAACCTGAACAAAGGCAACACAAAACCAGATGACATTCTATGCGCTTAAGACAGAAGCCATTATGTTCGGCTCACTGCTACCATAGTTCCTGCTACCACTGCGTACAGAGTAGTGGCGAAGAGCGTGACTTCCATGTTTATACCGCTAAATCTTCATCTAGCTATTCTTCGAATAATTTGAATAAATCCGTAGCTTCCGCTAGTACGTCGTATCTTTCAAGTTGATTTTGGTGGGTCTGGCAAAAGACCTGGAAGACATAAGATAGATGACTTCCTAGGTCTCTTATGTCATAACTTCCCAATGTTCACTAATATTACAACTGCCTCCTACTGCATTGCTAAATATAATTAAATGGTGTAGCAAGTTTGGTGCCCGAATCCTGAAGAGACTGCTAAACACTCAAGGCCACCATTATCACATTCCCTCCTCAGCATGGCCGCGCAGGATAATCATGGCTTTTCAGAAAAGGAACGGAATCGGCCACTGAAATAACTTGGCCTAAACCGGCTCAACGGAAGTCACGCAAGCATCAGTCCAGTTCTTCGACTGCAAAGTCAACCATCTTCAAGCCATATTTGACCACTGTACAAATATGGTAGACGGTCAGCCCTATATACATGAGGTGATTTTCGAGTTCGTCGTTCCACCTTACCACCTACTGTCCCCAAGTTGCGCCAAATGAGGCTACTGTTTCTATGAGTCCGTCCACAAGCAAGGCTTGCTTCTTGCTGGCTTGGTTGGCGTCCATGATATCTCCCTTGAGGGAAAGACAGAGGGTTGGAACTGACAAGATAGCACTGACTGTTCCTTTCCATCGTTTGATGACAGGTCGTTCCGCTTTCTTCTTCCTGCCAACGATTTTGACGACCGTGCCGGCTACGAAATCAGCTCCTGTGAGGGCCGAGCCCTAACAGATCGAGAGTCAGCTTGTCTCTCAGCTTTATATGGGGTGGGACTGGTGCAGAATGAAGGAAAATTGTGGTTTTTGAGTACCTATCGCATATTTGATGGAATCCCTGGTGCCCATCGAGGTGGTGGTCACTCCGGATACAGCGGCCAGGCTCCCCCCACTGGTTAGGTCGAGAATCCGCGTACAGTTTCACAGGTGAGCCATGCGAAATCCAAAACATTCATCAAGCTATCGATAGGTCAAATCGGGGACTCGTGCCCTGGAATACCGCGCCCGGATATCACATTGGAGATACCAATCCTGCAAACATTGACTACCTATGGATTCCAAACGGCTCCGGTGGGTGATCAATAAGCCCACCCCCGTCATCCGACCAGAATAAAGGCAAGGATCCTTATAACTCGAAGGACTGGATGGCCGGGGGAGGAATCCGGTATGCTTGGGCTCCGTCCCTGCGTGTGCAGATACAAACAAGCCGCGGAAACTGACATCGTGTAGCTTGTAATATTCAAGCCACTCTCTCTTTTGGTGGCGAAACTGAAAGACTGACGGTGAATGGGGGCAGTATCTTCACATATCGGATCAGTCATTACAGAGACGGGATGAGTACTAAAAGGTGAGTGCTGCGATGTCTGACCTCTCATGCTATCTATGTGCTTTGCTGACATAGCTGGGTCTATTACTGCAGATTGTTGAGGTATCCACCACGTGGGAACTCTCAATGGATATGGCATCCATTGAAGAGGGCGGGACAGTCTTCAGTCCAAAGGAAAACAATGAAGATGTGACAGTCACGTATAATCAAGACGGTGCATGAAAATGGACAGTACTGCCAAGGATTTGGCTGATGGCATTGTAAATAATGTCAAGCAAAACATGACGGCTGCACTGGAGAGAGTGAGTGACACATTATCCCTGGCAAGGGCTGATGCAAACCGTCTTGGCCTCCCTGCTGCCGGCACTTTCTCCATGAAAGACCCTATTTTCCACCAGAAAGGCGATCTGCTGGTCAAACTGGAATATAATGGGTGTGTTTTCTCTGGTGTCTGTCCTTACCTGCCACATTAATCTGACAGTATAAACAGCACGGAACCTCCTGGACCCCACCCCATGGGAAATACAGATTCCATCCACCAACATTGACGACGTCCGTCCGTCACCTGGATGTTTAATGCAGTGGCTCTTGATGAGCATTTTGTCTTTGGATTATCCCTACCACATGACAATGCTTGGGAAGTTCTGCTTTTCCCTTGTTGTGACACCCGCATGCAGAGAATAATTAGGGCTGTATTGCGAATTTTAGCCTAGGGAATTGCAGCGACTCTAAAACCCGAAGTTAGACGTCGCGAGGTTGGATATATTCCGAGAATCCTCATCAAAAGCACGTAGCCTGTATTTTGACACATCTATACCTTATGGCACTTCGCTGGAATGTGAGTAAAGAATTAAGCGGCAATCACAGAGCAAATACCAACAAGGCCTAGTATTCAATATCAACCCATCATCTAGCAGGGATATTGTTGCCGTGCTGTGTTATATTAATATTAAATTCCTATATACTAAGGTTATGCCCTATAGTTAGAATTTATATGCAGAAAGATATAAGGGGATACATACTATGGGTACAGATATTTACAATATGTATATCTTTGTATAGTAGTATCCGATATCCGACAGCCCGACTATAAGTATTTAATATCCTCAATCTACGAGTATTCTGCTGTCTGTGGTGATAGTAGCAATAGATAGTCCATGCAGGTAATAGTAAAGAAGTGCAAAAGTCCACAGCTACTTACCCTATATATGTACTCTGAATTAAGGCCAGTGCACCAATGCTTCAATCGTGGAGAGGAGGTTGCTTACTTCCAGCCAGCCTCACCGTATCACAGCAAATGGCATTTGATATTTCTCTCGAGACCGTAGCTGTGATTGGCTCGACCCTCAGCGGTTTCAGCCCCCACGGCAGGATGACTGCGGGATCGCGAGCTTCGTGTGGGCGGGGTAGATGTGATAGCGTAATTAGCCCAGGCGGCTGAAATGATCGAGTCAATCAGCCCGTTGTCCATAAAGGACAGACCGGACCCGTGATAAACTGCGGCGGTTCAGGAAGCGTGCTCAGCAAAGAAAATCCTGGATCTCTACGGTTCCAAGCCACGATGGCGTCGGAAAGAGCCCCCGCGTCCGTCAAGGAGATCTGGGAGAAGACCATCGTTCGCTTCCACGAGCGCACGGGCCAAAGGCTCGATGGTGTCTCCAGGGGCCCGGAGGATCTGCGAAGGCTCCTCGACGCGCATTATGCCGCAGAAGCGGACGATAAGAGTGTTTCGCAGGCTAAAGCGGTGGGGTTCCAAATGATACACTGTATCCAGCTCTTGGGGGGTATTGCGTCCCAGGGTGCGTCCATGGTAAGTGGCCATAATATCGCATTGCATACAATTTGGGATCTCAGGTAGGGACGCTGATTTGGACTCCAAGGTTTTCGCCCCGGCAGGACTCTGTTTCAACGCTCTTTCTTTCCTGTTGGATATTCCCAAAAAGGTCCATGAGTTCCATGGCGAGATCGACGCCATCTTTGCCGAGGTCGGACCAGCTCTGGCAAAGTTTCGGATCTACGAGCGGATGGAGGAGAGCTCGCAGATCGACGAGGCTCTGCGACTGTCCATCTACCAGGTTATGACGAGTTTTGTGAACCTGTGTGCCGACTGCATTAATATCCATCACGAGGGACGATGGAAGGGCTTCAAGCGCAACGCCAAACGTATCCTCTTAGATGATGGGTCTGTCCAGAGCCAGTTGGCACATTTCAAGAAGCTCACTCAAGACCAGCTGAACATCCAAGCGACTCTGACCCTCGAGGTGGCGGTGGAAACCGGCCAGCACGTCAGGTTTATGAAGGCCACCACACTCGACATCGACACAAACACCAAGGCGATCAAGAGCGACGTATCTGGGCTCGTGGAGGCTGAGAACAAGCGCACATTTGATGACAACCGGAAGCAAATTCTAAGTACCATAAAAGCTACCCTTGGGCAGAAGGACGACAAGATAGCCGCCGTGCTCGAGGCCCGAGATACGCTCTGTGAGGGCGCTGTGAAGGATAGCGGAAAATGGTTGAATGAAATCGACGCATATAAGCAGTGGATCAATCGAAGCAGTGCTGCAGATTTCCTACTCTTGCTGACTGGTGAAAATGGAACAGGCAAATCCTTGCTTGTCTCTGCGGTTGCGCAGGAAATCAAATCTGGAAACTTGGCCACAAAGGCTGAGCGCAGCCTGATTGGATATTATTCCTTCTCCAGGGTAGAGAAACGAGACAAAGAGGGCGACAGACAGCGGCCAGAGGCAGCGATCAAGTCTATCTGTGTCCAGCTGGCGGAGCAGGACATCGTCTACGCGAGGCGTGTTTCTAGTGTGTGCGGCGAGGCTGGGAAGAACGAAAAGTACTTCAGAGATGCCAGCTGTGCGGATCTCTGGGTCACGTTGGGAATAGGCATGCCGACCAAAAATACGACGCATTACATCCTACTCGACTCAGTCAGCACGCTCAGCCCGGCAGACCGTGAGCGGCTTATAAGGGCGATTCAACAAGGCGACCAGGGCAAGTCCAGCCGCGTTAGAGTGCTTCTCAGCGGCGAGCCAGGAACATTAAAGGGCGCTCAGCTCTTCTCGTCACCGACGAAGACTATCGACATTACAGGATATAACAAGGCTGACATCAAAGCATTCATTGTGGAGGAGCTGAAGCGCGCGGGTATCTTCCAGGGCGCGGACGAGGACTCGCAGCGACGGAAAAGGCTGGTCGAGGAACGACTCTGGGCGCGATCCAACAATTCCTATTTGACAGTTCAGCAGGATCTGCGCAAGATTGAAGAGATCATCGCCTCAGGTGGCACGGAAGAAGAGCTCAACCGGGTGTTGCATGAGTCGAGCACGGATCCACAGGTACTGGTGCGATCGGAAATCGAAGGATTGGAAGCAATGCTCAAGGCCCGGGAGATTGAGGAAATCAATGAGCTTCTGATCTGGGCTGTGGCTGGAGACGAATGGATGATTCTGGAGGAACTGGAAGCGGCCTTGTTCCTCCGCTTCAAGACCGTGTCTCTCCAGCCACTCGACAAAAAGATCACGGGGAAGTACTCCAAGCTCTTTACCTTGACCTACGGGAAATACCTGGCATTCAGAGATCATGTTCGAGACTGCGTTGTTGCCCAACGCGACAGGCCTAGACAGTCCGTGGATGACCCGAAGATCACGGCCACGATCAGCATCACCAACGGCGATCTCAAGTTAGTCCAGCGCTTCTTCTGGGACTTGAACCATTACTCCTTCCTAGGTGGATTTGCGTTTCAGCCAGCTTCCGATCAGACAAACGCAGGCCAGCGGAAGATTCAGGTGTACGAAGCTGATGCTCACCTCGAGGCTGTCAAAAGGGCCTTCGATATCTTTTTGCAACCGGTGGTTGATGAAAGGGGCAAGGCATTGGGCTCGTACCTGATGCGCTCCATCACAACCCATCTCAAGGCCCTGTCCGAGGTAACTGGGCTGGACGAGCTGCAGCCCGCTGATAAGCAGTTCATTGGATCGCATGTCTATGAGATGTTCAACGAGGGTGATCTCATCGAGCGGAATTGGGAATTGTGCTACACGGTATACTGGTACGAGCGTAATGACGATATGGAGGTCTTCTGGATGTGGTTGGATGACCCACTGGCCATCGCTGGCTTAGGGCCTCGGGACAAACGATGGCTGGCAGACCTAAAGAAAGACAAACATCGCAACTCGGGTCTGTTGACTCCGATCATGACCATGGTGGCTCGAAATTGGCTACAGAAATCCGAATGGGACGCCTACGGGACATTCAGATGGATCAGGGGATTCCTGACTTTGGTAAGTAGTTCTTGTATCCCATTGATCCCTCCTATCCCTAATCCCTGTCAATCTCTTAAATGCAGGGCGCCGAACCACAGCAGGATGATCAGGCGGGTGTGGCCAAGCAGGCTGAGAACTCGGAGAACGGAAACGGCCGAATTATCATATATGACAACGAGTCAGACTTGCAAACGATCGCCAAAGCTGAGCAGTGGTGCAAGCAGTCCTTGGGAGTCACCGAAGCGGACTACACATGGTGTATCCGATTAGGTGACACCTATGCTGACGTGCGCGAGTATGACGCTGCGAGCGAGCAGTACAAGAAGGTGGGAAAATCTCTCGCTCTGCGCAGAATAGGCCGCGTTCTAACCTGGGAGGACAGGCTGCCACAATTCTCCAAGCTCAGGACCCCGTCAACAAGGAGCAGCTGCGAGATGTGTTCAAAGCTCTCGGTGAAGTCGCGACCGACCCCGAACGTGCCTTGGAATACCTCAAAGAAGCCTCCAAGCTGGATGAAGAAAACGTGGAAATCCTGTGTGCGATGCTTCAGCAATATGTTACCAGGAAAAAAGAGGACGAGGCGCGGTCCATCATCCAGAAAGCTGTTACCGAGAGAGTCCCGGGCACGCAATCCACCTTGTTGATGGCTATGCTGGCAACAGCTCTGAGCAAGGAGAACGAGATTGACATGTTGGCCGTATTCAACGCAGTCTTTTCGGTCGTCTCTCCTTCCCCGGAACTGCGGACAGTCTTCCAACATGAGATGGAGGTAGCGATTGCCACTGCGCGGACGGAAGGCAAGAACGAGGAGCTTGCGATTCTATTATTCCAGCTCGGCAGTGCTGGGCACTATCTGCACAAGGACTCTCCTGAGCAATTATCCAATGCCGCAGGTAATCTGCGCGAGTGTTTGGACACCATTCGGAACAAGGTCGCTTCGGAAGACCGTGGTCGGCTAGATTTCATCAAACAAAGTGCGGTTGACCGTCTCAGCATGGTCTACCTCGACCGGGCCATGCAAACGGACGGAGAGGAATCAGAGGCAGACGTGGAGAGATTACGCCAGATTCACAGGGATGACCCTTCTGCCAAAGGCCCTAAGTCGGCGCTTGCATCACTGTATACGTTCAAGGGACAGAGGGATAAGGCTCGTGACATCTTCCGAGCCGATATAGTAGAAGCATTCAACATTCTGGCTGATGATGACATCTTCAATGATTTAGACGGATTCACTGCGCTTCGTAACCTTCTGAGCCGCACTGGGGATTATGAGAATGCACTGCGTGCTGCATTGCTGCTTCCGGAGTTACGGTTCGACGATATAGTCCTCAAAACGCTTCTTGCCGGAGAGGAGCCCGCTATGGAAGCAGTCTGCGAGGAACTCATCCAGTTCTATCACACGGAGTGTCCAGACGCAAACAAGGACTGGCACAATCTTACTAAGGTCTGGAAAGAAGCCAGCAGATTAGCATTAGAAGCAGATGTTTTTAGCGAGAGGGCCGCTTGCTACCATCGGGTCCAAAAGATCCTTGCAAAACTTGAGAGACGGATTGACTGCTCGCTCCCTTGCAATACCTGCAATCGGTACTGGGGCTATAGCAACAATCTTCATGCCTGCAAGTATTGCTACAATGTGTTCCTCTGCAATGCCTGCTGGGACGAGCTGCAATCAGGCAAAGCAGGCAACGCTTTTGTGTGCAGCAGTACGCACGACTGGTATGAGTTACCGCCATGGACGATGGAGAAGTATTTGGATGCTTGTGAAGGGTTGGTTCTCATGAAGACTGTCGATGGAGAAGAGGAGTTGGTCTCCGTTTCAAAATGGCTGGGGACGCTGTGCGAGGAATGGGGACTGTCCAAGGCTGACTGGAATTTTGAGTAGCGAACATGGATTTCTTACTGGTATTGGGTAGGTAGAATCCTTGAGAATACAGTGTGCTTGTCTCGCTGCTGTGCTTGCTTTCGTTCATCGACCCCATGGAAGGGTAGAGCAACTGTCCACCAAAAGAATAAATGGTGGTCTTCGGTGGAACATACTTTGCTTGTTCGATGCAGAACAAGATTCTCATGTGCAAGTGGAAGTGTCGATCGTGCTTCCCCTGCCAAGCAGCAACATCGTGTTCCTTGTAGACTCGACTAACCTCATTTTGAAGTAGAACCCTGCAGATCACAATGCGACTCGTATAGAGCACGGCCGAACTGAAAGCATCAGGCTATTTTTGGCAACGTACCGCGAAACTTCGGCTCCACTTCGTATTCGTATCCGGTCGGAGGTTTGATATAGAAGGTCACTTTGGCCCCAGAGTAGGATCGAGCAAGCCGTGTGATGTTCCTGTATCCTCTTAGAGGTGGATGCAGTCATCAAGTTCCCGAGAGGAACGAGATCTTCATCGTATTAGTCGGATATAATAAGCCAATACGACCAAGGAGGCTTATTTACGAGCTCCTGCGGATGAGAATTCGAGTCCTGAGACGACCCGCTCAGACACATCGATCGTATCCCGGCCATATCGGTCGTTTACATTGCATGCATAGGTGCGAAAGGCTCGCGGATTCAGTATTCAATTTGGACAAGATCGCCTCGGCGATGTTCGTGTTGGTGGAGTTCAATCTAAACGAGATCAGCATCTGGCGAAGATCGAAGCACCAGTCGAACAGTTTTGTATCCAGATCCAGCCTGATGCGCAGCGCATTCAATCAAGTATAAAGCCATCCATACCCCTCCCATTACCTCTGTCATTTCAGACTCTCATCCACAAACCGCGCCATCGAAAGGAAGCGCAACCATCAGAAACACCGCGACATTTCTCGAAAGCCCTCCCATACGCAGAGTTCACCTGATTGCCCATATCCGCCATTATGCAGCTCAAACTCGTCACTCTGACCCTGGCTGCGGCTGTCTCCATGGTCAACGCGTACGCCATCACTGGCAGCGAAGTCAACTGCCGTACCGGCCCCTCGACGAATGACAAGGTTGTCAAGTCTTACAACAAGGGGGACGATGTCAAGCTCTCTTGCCAGAGCTATGGTGAAAATGTTCAGGGCAACTCCATCTGGGACAAGACAACAGACGGCTGCTACGTTTCCGACTACTACGTCAAGACGGGCTCAAACAGCATGGTCACCAAGGAGTGTGGTGGTGGCACCTCCCCCGGCGGCAGCTCGTCCTACAACGGCAAGATCACCCGCAAGGAGATTATCTCCCGCGGTGAGTATTGGGTGTCACGCCACGTCCCATACTCGATGAACAAGGAATACCCGGACCCTCAAGGCCGCAAATACCGCACAGACTGCTCGGGCTTCGTCAGCATGGCTCTCCATGCCACTTCGCCAGGCTACAACACTGTCAGCCTCCCTGACATCGCCAAGCCTATCTCATGGAACGATCTCAAGCCCGGTGACCTTGTTGGTACCCTAGGCCCCGGCACTGGCGGTGCCGCCGGCCACGTCACTCTGTTCCTTTCGTGGGCCGACAGTTCCAAGAAGGAGTACAATACCCTTGAATGCCGCGGCACCTACGGCTGCGTCAAGTATAAGCGCCCTGTTGGTTGGAAGGATGGCAGCTTCACCGCCAAGCCCTACCGGTACATCCGCGTTGTGGACTAAGTCGGAGGATACGATTTGGGGATTGGACAGGGATGAAGAGGTTCTCTGATACATGTATAGTAATTCAGGAAGGCAAGGGGATGGGGAAGGAGGCGCGGCCATGAGGCAAATATCTCTCAGTCTACGAGAGATCCCTCTTGCTCTAGTCTTCGCGGGAGGCCTCTTATTTATCTCTAAGTGTTGTATTTGAGAGTGAGCCAGCTATAGAGGTGATGGCGCTAGAATTAGCTTTCTGTGATTTTAAGACCTAAATTGCAAACCACATTCGTTTATGTCATCAACTACATGATAACTCCTATTTTCTCGACGATCTTATCACACAATTCCCCTAAGCTGGCCGCATTCATTACATCCAATGTGGTGAGCTCTATCGCCAATGTCATACGCACCCAGTTCCGCAGCTCTACAGCTGCCAGTGAGTCTAACCCGTAGTAGGGCAAGGGATGTGCCGAGTCTAGCGCATCAGTTAAGCGTACATGCTTTGCCAACCGCGCACCCACGACCGTGATAGCTGCGGCCCACACGGCTGCACGGATCGGGGTTCTGGGATTCGGCCAGAAACAAGAGGCTCTGTATCTTTCTATCTTTGCTGGGTTCCCCTCGTGAACGTGGACTATCCGCTCCGAGAACTCGCAAGCCCCTAAAGCGGACATCTCTGAGCAGATCGCTGTTTCAGACTGGGGAACAAGTAGACTTGTAATCTTTTCCCCCTGGCTGATGACGTTCAGACGGTGACGTGGATCTGCATGCTGCTGAAGGATACAGAAGTCGAAGATTCGGTGCAGCAAACCCTCATTGATGCTAAGCAGAGTGCTTCCGTCAAACCTATTCTGTAGCTCTTCGTTACCGTGAATGACCCCGACGTCTTCTATAGGTCCAAGGTCAATGCTAATAGTGGGCAGTCCTGATGCGCGGCGATACTCTGCGAAGGTATCTTCAAGTGCATTTCCACCAGCATAATTGGCTTGTCCCTTCTGGCCTATCACGCCTGAAATGGAAGACAGCATGGTGAAGAATGACATCGGTTGTTTTGTTTCGAGGGAGACTGTATGTAGGTTGGATTTGCCCGTCACCTTGCTCGACAAAGCAGCGTGGTAGTCTGCGTGGGACATGGATTCAACTTGAATGACACCAATGGGAATTGAGATCTGGCTACAAGCCCGCCTGACGTCGCTGATAGAAGTGACATCGCCTTGAAGCAAGTCAAGCGAACACCCCAGTGCTCTGATGTTTCGAGCGATGCTCTGGGATACCTTGTCTCCACAACCACTGCGGGACATGACGGCGATGCTCTTGGCCCCGTGGGAGGCCAAATGGATGGCAAGACTGCCACAGATACCTTTCAAACCACCAACGAAGATATAACGGCGTACAGGGTTAAGAATACTCTGTGCCAAAGCCGTTGCCGGTCGGGTCTAGAAAGGTTAGAATCTGACTCACTTCGCTTCAATTCATGTTCGAAGTCTTACAGGAACAGCAAGCTTCGCGTCACGATGGTCTGAAATAACGATCTTTCCAATGTTGGGTACCTTCTCGAAAAGTCGAAGTGCCTTGGGTATGATTCATAACCCAAACGTGTGCTGGATAATAGAGGCGCCACATTGCCATTCGCGATAAACTGAGACAGCTCGGAGACAAGAATGTAAATATGAGCACCAACTCTCGATGAAGGGTAAGCCGATATTTCACGAACGATTTACTTACTATTCGATAGTTTCCTCTGGTAAGCCTGTTACACCCAAGCTCTGAAAAGAACAGTTGGGAGCGAATGATCCCGTGAACAGCAAATTACCAGAATCGGCCTCCGTTTGTTATCCTGATAAGTCGTCCGCCAGTGGCAAGTAACCGCGCGTTCTCATAGTCCAGATTGCCATTTGTAGGCTGACAGATAATAACGTCAAGGCCATGGCCCCCGGTAGCGTCGCGTAGAGCGCGAGGAAATACTGTAGGATCTGACATGGATGTATGATTTTCCCGTAGTCCAAGCTCCTGAGCCGGAAAATGGCGCTGCTCCAGGTTGCCCACAGTCGCGAAGGTATTATAACCCCAACGCTGGCAGAGGCGAATGCACGCGATCCCAAATCTGTAAAGCCTGAAGGGACCAAGGCGCGATCATCTCCCTGTACATGTGCGAGACGACGAAGAGCGTATAAAACGGTAAGAAAGTCGATTGATAGAGTTGCAGCCTCCTCAAACGACATAACACCAGGTAAAGGAAAGGCAGCTCATATCGCTATGTTCCCTGCTAGGCGGGACATAAGCAGTATGCAACACTGAAAATAAAATTTCCCTAAACCGAGGGTCGGTCCGCCCGAAAGGTCGGGAGGTGATGGATAATCAGCCGAAATTCAGAAAGTAAACAGATTCGCTACTTGAAGCCACTACAGGTTGAGGACGGAATTCATACGATGACCAGAACGGAGGAAAACATCGGGTACTTCTTGTATTCGTCTCAATCTATGAACTTGATATCCATTTCCTGAACCCTTGTATGCCCCTACAAAATGAAGAGCCACTCTCCAACACAGCTAGTAGTCGTCGCCACGACTGATGACCTCTTTGACGGTTGGTCGAAGCAGAATGGTCTTATATCCACCATTAGTATATTCTTCTCGTGGAAGTCAATCTGACTTACGTGTTCAAACTGGGCCGTGTATGTCCCTTGCTTCTTATTCAGAGGGGGGTAGTCTTCCACAATTCCGGATTTTACTAGGTAATTCAGCTATTTCGTGTTAGCTAAGAGCTGCAATCACCTGTCTGTAATGGAAGTCATACACCGAGGAGATACTTCTCTTGCCCAATCCTGTCCAAATATCGCCGGCAGAAAGGGATCGTGCTGAAATTCTTCTTGATCGCTGTCAAAAGTGACCTGGCCGAAGACAGAGTCAAGTCTTTTCTGTTCGCATCACCGCGCAGGGCGTAATGGGAGACCTCGCCTCCTTCAAAGTATCGGCCACTACCGGTACTGCCGAACGTTTCGATCGCAAAGACGTCCCCTTCTTCCATCTTTGTCATGTCGTTCGACTTGATAATGGGGACACTCTTGGTACCATGGATGGAGTACGGCAGGATTGTGTGGCCACACAGGTTGCGAATCGCTTTGATCGGGTGAGTCTTGCCGTTGATTTCACATTCGTAGCTTTCCATCGCCTCCTGAATGTAGCCGCCTAATTCTCCTACCCGAACATCGATGCCCGCCTCTCGCACCCCAGTGTTCGTTGCGTCCTTGACAGCAGCGAGTAGGTCATCATACATAGAATCGAACGCCATTGTGAAGGCACTGTCGACAATCCGACCGCCTACATGAATGCCAATATCGACCTTGAGTACATGGTTCTGCGCAAGTACGGTCTTACATCCGGCATTGGGGCTATAATGGGCAACAATATTATCAATGTTCAGGCCAGTGGGAAATCCCATACCGGCTATCAAAGAGTCCCCTTCCCTTAAGCCATCATGACCCACCAGACGTCGCGCACTATCCTCGATGCCATTAACAATCTCCAGCAGCGTTTGACCCGGCTTGGTGTTTCTCTGCGCCCACTGACGAACTTGACGATGTGCTTCGGCTGCTTGACGGTAATCAGAGAGGAAGTCGCTATTCAGGTTGTCGAGGTGACGTTTTTCTTCGCTGGTGGTTCGATATCGATTCTAATCCTTGTATTCGACCTCTTCGCCCTTGGGGTAGGTATTGTTCGGGAATAGCTGGGATAGGGGAATCGATGGCGAATCGGTCTGGACCTTCGGTTGCTTCTTCTTGGGCTTCCTCTTTTTATTCTTCTTTTCTTGGCAGTGCCATTGCCACCAGCTACTGCTGGGGTATTTTCAGCGACATCGTCGTCCGAGTCGTCGTCTTCCTTCGAAGTTCCGTTTGCTGCGGCGGAGGTGGAACCAGGGATGTCGCCTCCATTTGGACCAGCATCTGTGAGCCAAAAGCAGGTATTAGCTTGTATTGCTGGATATATATCAAGTCCCAGATACTTAAACTCTTACCGCTGATGTTTAGCTTCTCAAGAAGCTCTGGCGGGTCGACAGTCATGTCTAGCAAAGGAGGAAACAAGGAGAGAAGGGACGGTCGCGATCTGTGGGCGACCAAATGGTATGTAAATTGACCAAGCACAAGAATACCGAAGAAAAGTGAAGTGCGTTCTCTGAGTACATAGTCCAGTATGTACGGAGTTCTCCGTAGAGTGGACAACATGAGTAGTGGGCTGTACCGGCGATAGCAAAGAAGCAGTGACAGGAGAAAACTACTGTAGTATCCGTGTGGATACCGAGGATATATTCAAGGCCCTCTCCTCTGGCTCTGGTTAATTGTTTGACAGGGAAAATATTGATCAAGTAGAAACTTTAATTTACTATGGGACCATCACAAATATGTAATACTTTGTTGGTCCTGAGGAATGCAGGTGAGATATATTGCATTCCCATATCTTTGGCAAAATATCAAAATACTGATCTAGTCTATGAATCTTTGTCTCTTTGATGTATTCATCCTAGAATATTTCATAGAACAACTGAATGTGTGCTATTTCTATTGCACTACATATTATTCTGTAGACGGGTAGAGTGCAACTCTTTTTCAACTCGAAGGGGCCAATACTGCAGAACATGCCTTGATAAGATAATGCCAGTGGCTATGCCTCGTGTACAAAACAGTATTTGACTGTTGGGGATGCGGCGTAGCTCTTGATAGGAAATCCGTTCTAGTACCAGTGGCCCAGTTGAAAGATGAGTTGAATATGTTATTCTTCATGCCTAGAAAGGCCCTATGTCAATATTTACGTGCAAAAAGGGATTGTGATTTAAGTATAGTAGAATCAAATGTGGCCTTCAGGATCGTATCTGGGGCCTGCTTCCTTGTTATTTGGCAGCTTCTTGTTGGCTTCGAGGCAGCAATATTATATACCTTATTGCGCTAACCTTATAATTGTCTACCAATGATGACAGGCTCTACTGTTGGATATAGTCACCCCCGCTGGTCAATCAGCCCAGCTGCCTGCATAGTGAGCCGCCCCAAATACTACCTAGCATAGGGATGTGATTGCAGGTTATCACCTAATCATGCATTTCCTTTGCACCTTGTCAGACAAACGCAGCGTTAATGCAGTGAGACCAACTCTGGTCATCGCAACCTAAGCGACTAGCCAAGAAGAGGAACCGCCTTGCTCTAGGCTAATATCCCTCGCCTTTGTGGAAGCATTCCTCCGTGTGATGACTAGCGCGAGTAAGCCAGCTGGTTAGACCCGGTGATGATTAGAGTGAAGCTGCCGATTCCACAGACCAACGCAGCCAGTGGCTCAGCGGAAGCTAATTGGTCCTGAAGGAAGATAAGGTTGGCATCAAACCGTAACTCACTAGAAGATTATACACACAATCAGCATCAGCCGCAACCCAGAATCTGCCTGTACTCGATTCTTCACTAACTGCCGGACTGAAGCGCGGGCAATCTCCAATGGCAACGAAGGCTTCACGACCGTACTTTTGACTAGTTTCTGTAGAGCCATCCTCAGAATTGCCGCCAAAAGTAAGCGACAGAGCTGTATGGCGACAAAGAGAGAGTGGTGGATGGTCGTCTAACTTAGTGGGCAACCCAAACGATGTGCCGTGGTGGGGGCTGAAACACATACATACTTCGCCTGCCAGAAATTATACAAATCTCGCGGTCAGACACGAGGGTCCCTCGATTGCTCGGTGGATAGTGTTTGTGCTTCTTTATTTCCGTTTTCAGTTCAACATCTTGTGCACTACTTCAAGAGCCGCGGTCGTGTTTGTGGCCTTGGCTGGTCCACGTAAATCATATATATATGAACAGAGTGTGTTACACGAAGACTTGATATAGCAATTCGGCCAGTTCAATCTGTCAAGCTCTATATGTACTAGTAACTTTCGTTTATGGTGCCTGACTCATTCCTTAAACGGCAGGAAAGTAGGCTTCCCAGCCTCATCGAGGCTGTCGACTTTGACCGTTTCTGACTGACGTCTCAACCCAACCGAGGCTGATTTCTGCCCCCTCGCTGCTAACAAAAGGCGTCCCTCCGCCTGTAGTGCCTGGAGATCCGCCTGGACGGTCTCCTTGTAGAGCGCCTCCATGTCCCGAAAAAGGAACTCGACTGGAGCGTCAAAGTCTCGAACCCGCCATGGGTTTCCGCGCGCATTGTCCAGTTTCGGTGTGAAGTCACGGAACGGTCTGGGGTGGAAGAACTAGGACTACTGTTACTTTGAGATTCACGAAAGTAACCTCCAGCCAGATTGGCTACTCACAATGGAAAATCCCTCCATCCCGTCCTTAGCATGTAGCTTGGCTGCTCGGGCGGCGTGCTGTTCAGTCGCCCAATGATAGAACTCTTCTTCGCTGACATTGGGCTGGCGATACTGCGCCGCCGTCATGCACTAGAGGCGCTTCTTCTGGATCGGCCATTGAGATGTAACTTAATACTGTTTTGGACACATAGATGGCAAAGGCGAGAAAAAACTCTGTTGTTTATCTCGGTTACGCGAGAGGCCGCTAAGTACGATGCGGGTAAGGTTGCTATTCGGCTGTCGTCCTTTTAAATTCGAGCATTACATCGAGCTGTGGGTAATTTCGGTGCCTCTTGCTTCGTTGTAACTAGCGGTTGATGTGTGCACCGATCTTCCTCGGCAGCATTATCGGCGAATGCTCATGTTAACCAAGAATTGGCGATGGACCAAAGCACGGAAACTGGGGGCACCGGTACCACTTAATCGGGGCATGCCTACGATTGAAGGCTAATGGCAATATCTGTAAAGTAAGATCGAGCTGAAAAGATTTGATGTACAGAGATAGCCTCAACATAGCCTCGAACACTACTGATGTATCTAACTAAAAGCATCAATGCCCATTGGTAGCAGAATCGGCCTGAGCTGTCGACAGTAACAGACAACTATGTCTCTCTGGCCCAGGAAGACCGTACGCAGCTAGATCAACGCCATAGAGCCAGTCTGCTTGAGCACCTCTCTCCGCTGCAGAGGAGACTATAAGTGACTCTCTGTTCTCCCCGCTTACCGCCAGCCCACCACCCAGAAAGCGGACCAAATGCGAGGTTATGGAAAGGAGTTAATCTAGTGAGCTTTACAAGACCAAAGACGCCGCTAGCTTGTGTAGCTTGTGTACAATGTCGTTGTCGAGGAGAATCTTCTCCTAAGTGACGTTCCATGTCCCTTCTGGCGTGAAGGGCCATTGCAAGATGGGATTGCCCCGATAGTCTCAGCGTAAATGATTGTAGCGCTAGCCATTATTCGCCATTATTAAAGTCGAACGGTCAAGCCTCTGGCTCACATTCGTATGATCGCTATTAGGGATTGTGGGTAGCAACCTGCCATAGTCCTATCATGACCTCTTTATTCGGCTCAAACAAACAATGATGTCTCCCAGCTGGGAACAGCCTTTCTCCGTCTCTCCCCGCTGGTCATATCGTCCGCATCTTTGGTGTTTAGCTGGTCGCAGGTCATCTCGCTTGTGGCTTTCTTCCACCCTTCCCTACGCAAAGATGCAGCTCACCCGAGTGGCAACTCCTCCCCCGATACCTGCCCGCTTTCATGAGTCCTGGGATCTGGGGTATCGGCTATAACGTAACTCCCTGCCACCGTCCTTTGTGTTATCAATGGGTTGAGCCGTTAGAGTCGGGAGGCAGGCATCCTATACTTTGCCGACGCGCTGTTAGTACCGCTCTTTTTTGCTGGGGGCCGACCATGTTCGCTATCCTCGGCCGCATTGGCGATGTCAATACCGCCAGAGTCCGAAACGAGGACGCGCTCCAGGAATGGCTGGTCAACATCGCGCACGAACGCAGTTGGTGAATTTTCCGGCCTTTCTTTGTATCGTGGCCGCCAGCTTGGTCACTGCCACCGAGGGGCTTTCGTGCAACCCTTGGTGCTGAGTCGGGTTGAGCCGCTCGATGGGTTGCCTCCATCTTGAATCGGTTTGATACATGTATGTACTCTGTATGGTCTCTGTATTGTGCTTGAATCATACCATACAATATCAGCAAAGGCCAGTGTGTGCGGCGTCTTTGACTGTTTCTACTTTCAAACCAGCCTGTACTAGTGCATAGGTTCAATACACGCCTCACCAATCCATGAGATAGGTATGACCCTGTAATTAATGTTGGGTCATTCTTGGGATGCTGAAAGGTATTAAGTGATAACAAGGCAGCTACTTTGTAAGGAGTAAGGCTAGTTATAAAAGTTCAAAATAACTACAGGACGTGGAATAAATCTTTGAAAATTACACTGAAATCGTGGTATTTCATATTTGTTTCTACTACCTATGCGGGAACGTGCCCACTATTCCTTACCCGTAACTTAGTACCCTGACGGTGGCGTGGCCTGTATCCACCTAATACCGTAGGTACTGTGGGGTATCCTACAATCTCTCTTCCCCTCTGCACTTGAGGCGCATTTATGGCAATACCTAGGTACACTAGTTGTACCCCTGACCGCTTTCCTTGCCCTGTTTCGAACTGTTCAAATGAGATCTGCTTATATAAGATGCAATGTAAATAAACCAAACTGTGGGCCAGGTGGTAGATATCACGTGAAATGGATCAGGCTTGTCAGAAAGTAAGTTTTTGCTAATGAGCAGGAAGTAACCTGTCAACTTACATTGGACTACCATCTCTCACTCGCAACAAACTCTCCTCCTTCACTGTTGTCGCTCATCATTGTGGGAACTTCAATTTGATAATAAGAGGTCTTCCCATTCTCTTCTTCGACTCTTCAGAGCATACGATCTTGATTACCGCGGCGATGACCGACTCCGATCCCCCAAAAAAGTGCTGTGGGACTGATTGCGACAATGACGCGGGGACCTTACAATGTCCGACCTGTCTGAAGCTGGGTGTCAAAGGCAGTTACTTCTGCTCTCAAGAGTGCTTCAAAAAGAATTGGGTGGGTGACATCCATGCGGACATCCTATCGCTGAGCAACTAATATTATTGTATCCAGACCACACACAAGGCGTTGATGCACAAAACACAAAATGGTAACCGCCTTTCCCGGGCGGCGCACGACCCAAAGACTGGTTCGCTAATCGCGCGCTACAGCTACCGGACTGTACAACCCCTTTCCGACATACCCATTCACAGGCTCGGTCAGGCCCGTATATCCACTTTCCCCGCGACGATCGGTTCCCAAATCAATCAAGCGTCCCGACTGGGCCGAGACTGGCATTCCAAAGCGTGAGATGCGCTTGAGCAGGTCAAAATGGGATCTCTTGGATGAAAAGGGCCAGCAGGCCATGCGCAAGGTGTGCCGGTTGGCGCGAGAAGTCCTCGACATCACTGCCGCCGCGGTGAAGCCCGGCGTGACCACCGATTACCTGGATGAAATCTGCCACAATGCTTGTATCGAGCGAGATGTAAGTGACGTTCACTCCTGTGTGATGCATGTCAAGTGGTTTGCTAAAAGCGAACGCAGTCATATCCATCTCCACTCAACTACAACCACTTTCCCAAGTCAATATGTACTTCTCCCAATGAGGTTGTATGCCACGGCATTCCTGATCAGCGAGTTCTTCTTGATGGCGACATTCTCAACCTCGATGTTTCTCTGTACCACGGCGGATATCATGCCGACTTGAACGAAACCTACTACGTTGGCGACAAGGCCAAAGCGGATCCGGACTCGGTCAGACTCGTCGAAACGACGCGGGAGGCCTTGGACATGGCTATTGAGATCGTCAAACCGGGCGTGCCGATTCGAGAGTTTGGCAAGATCATCGAAAAGCACGCAACCTCGAGGGGTCTGGTCGTCATCAAGACTTGGGGCGGCCACGGTATCAACTCGGAATTCCACCCTCCTCCTTGGATTCCCCACTACGCGAAGAACAAGGCAGTAGGCACCTGTAAACCCGGGATGACATTCACAATTGAACCGATCCTGGCGTTGGGCGGCAACCGAGAAAAGTATTGGCCAGATGACTGGACAAATGTTACGGTGGACGGCAAGCGGACAGCACAATTCGGTGCGTACAGACTTTTCAGTTGCAGGCTCTATAAACTAACGTGGACGTGATAGAACATACTCTACTTGTGACGGAAACAGGCGTCGAGGTTTTGACGGCGAGACTGGAGAACTCTCCAGGCGGGCCAATCCCCATACCGGAGGTTGCCAACGGAAAGGCCAACGGACATGCAGATGGAGATGCAAATGGGGAAGTAAAAAACTAAGGATATGGTAGGAAAGAGCGGGCAAAGGGGTTACTGGATAAGGGCCATTCGCCTGTCAGTTTCGTAACTCGTGTTTCTGAAGCGGCGCAACCTCTGCTATTGAAGCGGGCTTCCCTCGAGCTTTAATTATCTTTACCCAATCTTGCTTTAAAAGACTTTAAACCAGGTGTATCCGCACCGACCAGTGTCCCCATCCACTCCTCTGTGCCTTCTTTGGCGCTATTGACCTTCACCTCGCCTCTTCCAAGCAGAATCGGATGGCAATTTACATACATGCTCTCATATCCGCCATCTTTCGTGATAAACGTCTCGTGGAAGATCCCCACATGGCCCGGGCGATGCTGGTTATAGTACGCCCACGTCTCCTTATGTAGCGGTTCGTGGGCAAACTTATGAATACTTTCCACATCTTTGAAGAAATACTTTATCAGTGTGGTGTTATTGGAGGTGCGCTCGCTGCCTCGCCAGTTCTGAACCGCCAGCAGGCCAAGCTCGTCCTTACGGCGGAGTATATCCTGTTGCATGGCCATGAACTTGTTCGAGATTTCGAGCATGTGGGGCGCAAAGATCCCCAGCGGGTGATTGTATTGTATTCCTAGGTGGAACACTACCACGGAGCCCTTCCCTGGCTCCGGGCCGTATTTCCCATCTTTGCCTGGGATTTGCGCGGTAGCTCTTCCGGGAACGACATCGGCCATGAAAGGATTCGTTTTCGGCTGAAAGCAATTTCGGATCGTGGTAAGAATGGATATGATGAGGACAGTGGCACATGGGATGGCGGCGTAGCGGAGGGGGAGGATGGCGCAGAGGATGATCTGCAGGAGAGCACCGATGCAAAGGAGCGTGCCGAGGCTGAATTGATTTGGGAGGACGAACTGTTGATGAGGACATTAGCGGTTGCTTGATTAGATCCTAATTCTGGATGGTTGAGGAGCCTACAGAGATGGCGGAAGCCGTCAGATGTCGACGTGGTTGTGCTGTGGGTGCGAGGAGGGGCTTCATAGACTGATCCATTGTCAAGTTTGTGTGAGCTGGAGAGAAACTAAAATCCACAAGATGGTGACAGAAGATATGTATCCTGAAAGCTGATGCATTGTTGCCTAGAGGATATTGTACTCAGATGAGAGTGATGACCAATGCTACTTAGTGTGATATTCTAACTGTATGGGTAGTTAGTACTTTATACTGATTACTCAAGCAATAAGTCCTAGTACTATTACTTTGAGGGTTATAAAAGCCTCATGACACCCACGCTATCTATCTAGAATATTTGTCAATCCAACTCGAAGTAACTCACCTCTCCAAAAGTCGTCTACATGATAGAGGTGTTACTAGTATTCTAGCATAGGCTGATATCGCATTACTATGCAAAATTCACATTCTCCAGGTTGGAACCTCTTCTATCAACTTGGTACCGTGAAAGGCACTCTGCACCTATACCTCTAAATTCGGCCTAGCATAGCACACACTACCTTCTGCTTTATATATTAGATAGCTCTATCATAGATAGTACGATGATTACCCTATAAAGAAGTCATCTACAGACACCGTGACAATAATAGCGTTACAGTAACTTCGGTAGAATACAGATTGAAATGGGTTCTCTTTTTACTTAGAGTTGGCCTTGGCTGTTTTTGAAGAATGGTTCTGTTACTTTGGAAGGTGGGACACAGCTACACAAGGCTGAGTGAGGTACTCCGTACGGCGTCTTCCAATGCTTTGTGCACAGCCTCATTCATACCCCCCTGTGTGGAATTTTCAATATTTGTTACAACCTTATCAGGTGTACAGTACCTTACATGACCTACTGGAAATCCCCATCTCTCTGGATGAGTCCTGAAAGATCCATGCTCCCACGTTATTCCATCTGACCGTCACCATGTCTGAAAACACCGATCAACAGTCACAATTACTTGCAGACAAAGAAAAACGGCCAACGAAAGACTAATGGACATTAATTTTTCCTAACACCTGGTTCTTCGAAGTTCTTTCCATTCTCTTCACTGCCGCTTGTTTTATCACTTTGTGTTGCCTCCTCCTTTGAAGCAGTCTCCGGACCTTCCTCAGGGCCTGACACTGAACAGTATTGTGTCCATTCTGGTCACTGCAGCTCAATCATCGCTACTCTTCTCAGTCGGTAATGCCATCGGCCAGCTGAAATGGATCTGGTTCCGACAAGGAAAGCGTCAGCTATATGACATGCAGGCTGCAGATGATGCAAGCCGTGGGCCTCTTGGGTCGCTGACCATTTTACTTCAACGGCAGCATCCTGGTGGTCTTCTCCTCTCTCTTGGTGCCACGGTTACGATCATTTCTCTCGCGTTCGATCCGTTCGTGCAACAGATCGTCAGTTATCCCGTCCGACAGGTAATCAGCCCACCCGATGTTGCTACAATGAAGCAAGCTCGATTTCCACTGAGTGCTGAAAATACGGGGGATGACGGGGATGATGCCTTCGACCATGCCATGAATGCCGGTCTATGGTCGGAAATTTTTATTTTGGATCCGACCTGTCCGTCAGGAAATTGTACCTGGCCTGTTTTTCTGTCGGCCGGATGGTGCAGCGAATGCGATGATGTGACGTCCACTGCCCGCCTGGTTGGATGTACAGATCCAGTTGACTTGCACGCCAGTTCGACTGGGACTCGACCAAGCCCATGCAGTATCGATCTTGCCCACGGAACTGCGACGATCACTGATATTTGACGATCCGTACGCCGCGATGCTGGAGCGTCTCCAACACCCCTGTAATCCAGGCAACACGCCAGTCGTGGAGCCCATCACCCTGCAGTGCAGCTTTACAGATTGCAAGTGGCATCGAAGCGACAAATCCCCCAAACATCAGGTTCGTCTCGTTCAGACAGAACTCAGCGGACTGGCAAACTTTGGTGACGACCGATGTGACCTCTCGGGGAACGACCATGATCTCACTATACGAGCCTTGCCTGAGATCCTTGTATGCGGCATTCCAACCCCTCCGCAAGAGAGAACTGGTCGCCCAAAGCACCATCAAGTTGGCTGCCGTTTTCAGATCTGGAAACTGGAATGCGACGGGGAATACCGGCCCCTTCATCGGATTTCCTGCACAGCCACTGTCTTTTGACAATATAGACCAGTACATTGGACCACTCACAGTATCTTTTATTTCTTTGTAAATCACTTGGAGCGTATTATCTAAGAATTCGAACTCTTTCAGCAAACGCGACATTAGCGGCACTTTCTCTGCGTATGGAAGGCGCGTGTAGATATTTAACTGATGAAAGAGCCGCGGGGCGAAAGCCATACACTCGACAATTCGGTCGTAGGGTCTCTTGGCTGCATTTTGCCATGGCTTATCCATCCAGCTAGGCTCGGCCAAGAAACTAGGCTTTAACTGCCCAAGGTCGTAGAGTATCTACTATTTCGTCAAGAAGAGGTGTCTCACAATGTGAGAGGTAACATACCAAGTGGACACGAATGGCAAGAAACAGCTGATGTCCCAATCCCGATGCATGTGCACCCACGCCGCGCAGTTGGATCAGCGACAAAAGACCACGGCAATGCTGGTAATAGCCAACAATATGCCTAGCTGGGCACTCTGTGATCTCGTACATCGCCAGAACTAGACATGCAGCAAGCGTCTCATCGTGCCTAACCAGCGAGGAGCTCTGAAGAGCTACCTGTAGCGCCCGGAGCCCACGAGTATAGAGCTTCAAACTTTCGTGTACTAAGGCCTTGTTGCCCGTAGAGCGACCTACCAGCGCTGTGCAAAGCGCAAGAGTAGATGCTTTCAGGGCCCCGGTGTCAATCGGCATTTGTGGGAGCTGACTGAGCCATGGTCTGCCCCCAAATGGCCCTTTTGTGTCTGGAACACAGTGGCAGCAAAAATAGTTTAGTAGCTGCTGGTGATGACTAGTCTGAATCAAAGCTAAATTCTGCTGCGGAGTTGGTTGTATTGCCTTGGCTGCAGGGTCGACCTCAACGAACACGTAGTCACGCTTATAGCCGGGGCATATCCGGTTGGACCGATTGCATTGCAGACATTCAGGCATCTGCTGGCCGCACTTGAGGGGATCAACATCCATCAGCAGAGGGGTGAAACGGAGCCATTACCTTTATCTTTCTTCTTCGGCAGGCATGGCAGCCTTTGGATTTCCCTGGTACGCCAACCATTGTCTTGGAGTAACCATCATGGGGAGTGGAAGTGGTGAACCCAGCAAATGGGTGACGTGTTTGGTAAGTGTGCTGAGAAGAGCCTCAAAAGGGTTCCCGACAGAAGGTTGTCAGAACAAATGGTCCGCTAGTATCGTCTCGCCGGCTACTAGCCACATTTAGCTAGTTCTACTCGCCTCACGGCCTCGTCCTGCTCATGTACCACCTTGACTTGGGGAGCAGCCCAGAAACGAGTGATTAGCCAAGTTTAAGGGATATATTAACTATCGCCGGCGCTGTTCAGTAGATAATGCCGCGCGAATTGGCTAATCAAGTGAGATATCGAACATAGCATTGAGTCTAATCAAGTGTCATCAAACTGCTGGGGAAAAATAGATTGATTCATCGCAGTCATGAATGCAGCATCTATGGGTCGAGCTAGGCGAAATCAACATCAACAAAGCAAGCCTTGCGGAAGCAGATGTAGCTACACAGTCCACTTGAACCCTTTAGGAAGCTGTGGCCGTCGCCTGGACCCCACGATATAGTACAGGGTGGGCTTCGTTCTTATTGGTCGTTACTGCATCTGGTTGGGTCTCAAGCGATTTGCAGTCTATGCGGTTTGCCTAAATCAGTATGTTCTATCTGTATGGTCGCAGGAGATGTTTTAATGCTCACAAAGTGTGGTGCCTCTCCATTGCTCGGGACTTAGACTGGCTGTGGGGTGGATATGGGTTGATCCACAGCATGTCTGATCCAACCCAAGTTGATTATGTGTAAACCATTAGGTATCTCACCCACCCCTTGTATCCACGCGGGTTGAACTGTGGATAATGTGGATATCCATACTATCTAGTCAGGTGACCTCTAGTATTCAGATTACCTCCTATTTTTCTAGTATTCTAGCCACACCACTAGGATATCTATATATTTAATAAGTAATATAACAATAAATTAGTATAAATATTATATATTACCTATTATATAAGCTAAAATAGGTTTATTTAGGGAAGTAGGGGTGCCCCGTTTGCTTAGGCTGAAATGTGGTGCGGAGATATATATATCTGGCCACTACCATCCTAACTACCATCCTCTAATATCTAAAAACTACTATAACTCTAGTTCTTTTTAGTAAATCTGATATTTTATCTTATATATAGATAGATATGACTATTCTCTATCTATCTATATAAAAATATATTCTTATCTAGGCCTAGATCTAGTCAGATAAGCTTATCAGTTTAGGAGACCATAGATCACGTGCACCTAAATTAAACCTTGGTTTAACCCATATCCATGTGGATATAGCAGGTTTAACCTATATCCACGTGGGTTGGATTAGGGCCAATCCCTCATCCAACCCAAAGCGTGGATTGGTGGGGTGGGTAACCCAGTCTAGTTGGGACCCAAAATCACTCTTTGGAGCACACTAGGTTGTCTAAGACGGTCATTTCGCCTTTCCTGCTTTTTGACCCCGCTGAAGATTCTATTATTCTCTGCTTTGCAAGCACATGTCGCTTAAGCGCTCCCCCGGCGACTGTAACATTTTCTGAAGACTCTGCCTGGGCAGGTCGCCGGATACGAGGGACAACTGGGAGTTTCGCATTCATCAAGTCTTGAATATCCTGAAGAGTAGCCGAGAGATAGAATTGCATTTCTGGGCCAGCGGGTCGCTAACGTGCCAGAGCGGATAAACCTTTCCATGAGAGCCCCTTGTCTGGTAGAAATCATCTTTATCTGTCTTCCTGCTCTTATACCGAGATAGAAACTGATGATATAGCCAGCATGTTTTCCTGCATCCTAGATAAAGGAATGGATGTTCCTCGAGAAGGAAATAAGTTTCAAGATGCAAAAGGAGCTGGATCTCTGCATGGCAATGAGTCCTTATCTCTGGTTCTCTACCCAACGCCTTTCGAATTATCTCTTTTGTCAGCTGAGGCATTCCTTCTTCCTAGCGAGAAGTTGGATCTGTTCCTCAACCTCCTCCTTAAAAATCGCATACTTCCCGGTGCCGGTACACAAACGATGTTTAGCTTCGTGAATGACTTTTGAAGCTCGATGGCGGTCTCTTTAAATGTTTCGTATGCTGATCTGAGCTGCCCCAAGAGCAAATTGCCTTCCTTGCCTTTCTGCTTCGTGGAGATAGGGTGGTCGGATTATGTTTGTGCGGTGTATATATCTAGGCGCTGCTTATAGTAGCTCAACTCCTCCGTCCAGACGACGTCTTTGTCCATAGCCGGTCCCATCCCCCAACTTACTGTCTTCACCGTCAGTGCCCTCGTTCTTCGCGATGTAGACCATAGATTGTTTTCATACCCTGACTTAAAGATACTTTAGATAGAGTGCTTTGGCTAGATTATGCTCCCCATACTGCCATGTATGGAGGCGCCCCGCCGCTACCTCAATGCTACAATGTTACCACGAGACCCGCAGAGTGGATTAGAAATTGCTTACAACAACTATTCGCACTACAATTTAATATTAGCTTATGCGTGACCATCCCCGCCCTACACTAATTGAAGATTACTACACTAGCCTGGTGTGGGTATAAATATGTATAGAAGAACTTAGAATCAACCTAGCCTGAATTATAATTAATAGACTCCTTGGTACTGTCATGGAGCGGCGTCTTATGTGGTGGATTAGCATTGCCAGGAGAAAGAGGTTACCGCAGAGGCTTGACTGGAAAGTGGAACCTTTTTTAGAAGCATATCTGATATTATTACCGCAGTGAGGTCCAATCCTGCAGATGCCGCAGCGGCCCTGGTGCTCTATCCTTCTCTGCTGTGACCGGATGAATCGAGATTGGATAAGTTCTTACATTTCTGTGCCTGCGCCTGAGCTGGGGAAACCATAATTTTATGCCGAGATATACCGATACCCCGCATTCCTCATAGTCAGTGATCTGCAATATTGACTCTCGGTGTACAGCAGGTCGTGGCAGCAACTACTCCGGCCCAGAGTTTGGGGTATTCCCCCATACTACTCAACCATGTCGGCACAGAAAATGGGATTTCTAGCTTTTCTGTGATTCGGCTATGTTGGAACTCTCGGTATTAAAGTTGTCACGCGTCTGGTCGACGATCTACTGAGGCAACCACCACTGATCATAGATGGTCCGTTCTTTGGCAAGCTGTTGTTGTCACGACATATAACTGAGAATCACGCATGCCGGGTTAGAGTTCGGTCAATGGTGACGAGACTATCAATTCACCTACAATCTGGTTGCGCTGTAATGGAATCATTCATACCATCCCAGCCTTTAGCTGTGTGGTGCATCCATAGCCTGGTATGCTATCTCACGTTGCGGACTATATACCGCCTCTACTTCCATCCATTGCGTAAAATTCCAGGCCCTCGTCTCGCAGCCGCGACTCACCTTGTCGAGTTTTATTAAGATGTAGTGAAAGGCGGCAAATACATCTGGGAGGTAGAAAAGATGCATGAAATATACGGTTGGTATTCCTCCAAGCATCTGAAAGTTGATATTCTGACCTAGTTCGAAGGCCCTATTGTCCGCATTAATCCCCGTCAGGTCCACATCAACGACCCCGACTTCTACGAAGAAATATATGCTGGCAGCAAAGCCAAGCGCGACAAGGATACTTCTTACCCTCCGCGTTTATCTGCCTCCCTCTCGGTGATTTCCACTATCGCCCATGATCACCACCGCCTGAGACGGTCCGTGATAAACCAGTTCTTCTCGAAAAAGTCGGTCGTGGGTCTAGAGCCGATTATCCAAGACAAGATAGACAAGCTAGCAGAGAAATTCAAACAGTGGGCTAAGAAAGGAGACGTGCTGAGATTCGAGTATGCCCTCAGCGCACTGACAGCGGACGTGATCACCCATTACTGCTACGGCACGAGCTACCGATACCTCGACGACCAATTCCCAGAGAATGACCTCAGAGAGGCCTTTGGGAATCTCTTTGTCTTGAATCACCTCCTATACTTCTTCCCCATCCTCTGCACCCTCCTGAATAATATCCCCCCACGGCTAATGCAGCTCGTCAATCCTAAAGCCTCAGTCATGGCAGCTCTGCGATCGAGAATAACTCAGCAGTCCAGAGAGACTTTGCAAAAGAAAGGAAACGTGACGCGGGAAAACCGCGAAACGATATTCGACGCCCTATTGGATCCCAACCTGCCGCCCAGCGAGAAGACCCTGGCGCGCCTCAGCGAAGAAGGTCTGATTATCCTCGGCGCCGGGTCGGAAACTACTGCTAATACCATGTCTCTGGCTCTGTACCATCTGACAAATAACCCGGACGTTTTGGAAAAGCTGCGCGCGGAGCTGAAAATTGTTATGCCAACTCCTGATACCCCGGCCAAATGGTCTGATCTAGAGCAGTTACCTTACTTGGTATGTACGTCCTGTCCAGGGTACCCTTCTTCGCTTATCGATCACTTATACGAACTTGTACAGACCGCTGTGATCAATGAGAGCCTCCGCATGGCCATTGGGGGTTCCTGGAGGCTTCCGCGAATCTCGCCAAATGCGCCGGTCGTGTACGGCAACTACTTTATTCCAGCAGGAATAGGTCATGTCTTCCGCGACCGCTGCCTGGTACTATCTAAAATGCCCTACCTAGACGCCGATGATAACAGCCAGCTATTTCGTCCACATGAACCCCACAATCTTTCCGGATCCACACAGATTTGATCCTGGCCGCTGGATAGAGGCAAATGCGTCGGGCGAACGACTAACGCGATATATTGTTAGTTTCAGCAAGGGCACGCGAAGCTGCGTGGGTATAAAGTAAGGGGAATCTTGTCCCCTCCGATCTAGGGCCTTTTGCACATATCTGATTCGGAATATAGTCTTGCGTATGCTGAGCTCTACTTGGTAATTGCTCGGATCGTTCGCCAGTTCGACCTTGAACTGTGTGAAACCACTCCTGAAGATGTTCGGTTTGCGCGCGACTATGTCGTTCCTCATGCTGAGAACGGGCCATGGAGCGTCAAGGGCCGTATTGTGCGTGCCCTTGAGGAGTAGATCTTACCATTTTGCGGCTGGCGTGGTGGTAGTTTAGGAGAGTGTTGAAGATGGTCCTGTGCTCAACGGGCTATGTTGTGTATTAGTCTGACTGATACTAGCGACAGGCTGGCTGGAGCGTTGTTTTTTGGCTACATTTCGAAAGGTCCTGCACCGTTAAATGCGGCCTGGAATGAGAAGAGGTTCTGAGTGCTCATCCGGAATAGGGTTGCAATAGGTTACATGCTGTGATAAGATAGTTGTTACTGTGTTGGTTTCCATAGACTTGGAATTATACAATCAATCTCTATTGCCACATCGACACGCTAAAGAAGGAGTCCTTTCTGGAAATACAGCCGCATATCGAGAGCAATACAGTTGAACTGGCCTTGATTGTACGCCGTGATCAGCCCTTAAGGGAATTGTTGCCACAGAAATCAGACTTCAATATAATTCATAGTGGACCTTGTTTTCAGCTAGAGGCTAGCAAGCTGAGTAGAATACCTTATTCTTAACTACTTGTACCGAAACCTTCTACTTCATCACGAAATGACGATAATTGTCAGCAGCAACATCTTCACATCGCTCACGGAACCTGACGAGTCCACCAAAATAGCGGACAACTCTCCTCTGTGCCTTGCCCTTCTTGTTGGAATTGTACCCGGTCATCCACGAATTGACATTGGCCGATAGGAGCCCCTTGGTACAGTCGAAGACATGCTCCGTCCATTGCTCCACTCCCTTCTGGTCTGGAACAACGTAAGTCATGTTGGCTTCCGTAAGATATTCCACGAACCGAGCCACATAGCGCACCGCGTATTCAATCGCGTGCGGAATATTCCCAGTCCCCTGATGGGGTCCTAGGATATTGAACATATTGGGGAAGTTCGGCGACATGAACCCAAGATAGGTTAGCGGGCCATCTTTCCAGAGGTCTTTGAGGGCGATACCCCCCTCGCCGTAGTAGTCAATTTCCTCGTACGAGCCTGTCAAGGCGTCGAATCCGGTGGCGTAGATGAGAATGTCGAGCTCGATATGGTCCACGGTGGTTTCAACGCCTGTTGCAGTGATCTGTTTGATCGGCGTGTCGTTCAGGTCAACGAGCTTGACGTTTGCTCTGTTGAACAGCTCGTAGTATCCAGTCTCAAGCGGAACCCGACGGGTACCGAAGCCGTGTGTCTTAGGGATCAACTTCTCGGCAATTACGGGATCATTCACGCGTGCGCGGATCTTGTTCGCCATCCAATTGCTGTATAGGTCGTTGGCCTCTTGATTGGTGAATATGTCTTTGAAGTTGGCGACCCATTTGATTAGTCCGCGCATGTTGTAGTGAGTTTCCCACAGTTCTTCGCGTTCCTTTTCAGGTATGTCAAGGGCGTTTCGGGGATCAGGCTCGTACATGAAGCCCATTGGAGTTGACTTGCACTTGCGGATTATCTCAGGGTAGTCAGCCCGGATAGCGTTCATTTCATCGGGGCTGATTGTGCTGTTTCGTAGAGGCGCTGTCCAGTTTGCGGTCCGCTGAAACACGGTGAGCTGACCAGCCGTTTTCGCAACTTCCTGAATAATTTGGATCCCAGTCGCCCCAGTCCCGATTATTCCCACCCTCTTGCCCTCGAATGATACAAGATGGTCTTGCGGCCATCGCGAGGTGTGATATGCTTCGCCTCTAAAGTCTGCGACGCCGGGGATGTTAGGCAGGGTGGGCGAGGTCAATGGGCCCAGGCAGTTTATCAAGAACCTAGAGCTCAGGCACTTTCCGTTCTGGTCTGCCACCGTCCACGACCGATTTACCTCATCATAGCGCGCAGATTTAACCTCGGTGTTCAGTTCAATGTCAGGGCGAATATTGTGTTTGTCAATGACAAAATTGATGTATCTGAGCGTATCCTCCTGAGCAGAGAAATGCTCCTTCCAGTCCCATTCGTCCAAGACTTCCTGTGAGAAGGTGAACATGTACGTGTAGCTCTCTGAATCGAGCCGTGCCCCGGGGTAGCGGTTCCAAAACCACACACCCCCCGGCCCAGAGCCTCGTTCGATAACCCGGGCTCGAAGTCCAAGCTTCTTCATGGATATCAGAGTGTATATCCCGGAGAGACCTGCGCCGATGATAAGAACATCGTAATCGAGGCTGCACGAAGCTTCCGGTGAGGTATCATAAGAGCCATTGAGATCGCCCATATTGGTAGATGAACGAAGTAGTGCAAATAGATATATTGAGCTCAGATCTTCCACGATTGAAATTGATGCGGTTCACCCTTGTTATTTAAGACTTATAACTTCCAAATCCGGTTTCTCCGATGTACCGGTTGTTCTAAGCTACGACTGACTTGAATTACAATCACATTGCAATCTCCTGGAATCAGAAAGCCGATCGGTCTATCTGGTGGCACCATTCTTCTGGAAACTACCAAGTCTGTGTCCCAGATACACTGAAGATGCCGCAGAGAGCACTTCTACGGAGCTGGATTTACCGAACCATCCCCACGTTCCCCTCACATTACCTTAGTCCACGGCCTGAAATGGGGACGCTTGTTTGCAAGTCGATGCGGCCAAATAATGGATAACTATCGTAAGTTGTCGAGGTATGATTTACCGGTCGAAACCAAGCCGAATGCCGGATGCATGTCTGGGTATAAGTGGCGTGGCCTGTCTTGTCCGATATTCTACACCCGTCGACCGTATCGTGCATGCCATCAGACTCCGGCGAATATCCTAACCACTATCTTCAAAATGGCCATCACCCACGTCGTCATCTTTTCCTTCAAGGCCGACATCAGTGATGCAGATAAGGAACATGTAAGTGAGAGAATCTCTCTCAAGAACTGGAGGTACCGGACTGACATACATCTTTCAGGCCCTGAATAGTCTACGGGAGATAAAGGACAAAGCTCTACATCCCACAACGAGAAAACCTCTGGCAAAGTCTCTCACCGGGGGGAAGAATAATTCGCCCAAAAACTTTAATGTAAGGAACTCTGCTGTTTTTGGGCTACAGGCTGCCGATATGAGATTGGGCTAATCTCATAGCAGAAGGGGTATCAGTATGCTTTTACCTGGGAGTTCGATAGCGCAGAGGACCGTGACTATTACACTTTCAAGGATCCATACCACAGTCTGATTACACCTGTCGTCTTGAACGCTGTCGAGAACGTCATCGTGGTGGATTATACTCCTGGAGAATGGTAGGAGGAGTTTGTAGTACGCCCAGGCGGCCAGTTAGATAATTAAAGTAACAATACCAACTTGGGGTTAGAATTCGAGCTATTCTTTGCTTTTGAATTTTCCTGCGTATTCTTTCAATGTACCCGGGCTCGGGACTGAGAGTTTAACCCCCCATTGCCATGGCAGAATGTGGGCCTCGGAACAAGGCACTTGCCAACTTAAAGCGATGTGCTCCGGTCCGAAGAAAACCCCAGGGATAGGTGATCTCGCACAGAGTGTCTTCGCATAGGACCCTCAAGGACTTGCTGCTTACTGTACGTAATTCCCAAAAGACAAGCTTGCCGATCATTGCAAGTTTGTTAGTGGTCATACAGAGGAGTACCGTGTGTCGGGTACAGCCACTGGCACGCGTCCGTGTAGTGGGTTCGTCAGGATATGAACGAACACTGTTCTTCAATATTTTCACCCTTTGTATTCATGCAAAATTCAAAATAAACCGGCAGCATTTGGCGCACTTCTATGCCAGAGATCCCCCATCTGCAGCCCATACTGCGCCAGTCACATATGTGCTCTCAGGACCCAACAAGAAGGAAATTACATTAGCTATTTCCTGAGGATCTCCTTCGCGCGTAAAAGGTCGGTAGGCACTCGGCCGTTTCAGGTCCCCGAAGGCGTGGGTAGTCTCTCTTAGGAGTTGCGTCTGGATCGGTCCCCTAGCCTACGGTTAATCATATATCACTGGCAGTAGAAAAAGTAAACTTACGGCAACACAGCATTCACTCGGATTTCGCGAGGTCCTCCTTCCTTCGCTGCGCCTTTGGTCAATCCAATCACCGCATGTTTGCTGATGGGATAAATAGCGCCCTTATCGTAGCCTCGTAGCGACGCAACACTGCCGACATTCACGATGCTCGATCCATCCTCCAGATACCCTGGCTTCAGAGCCTGGGCGACGAAGTTGAAGCTGCCACGGACATTAACGTCCATCACGAACTCATACTCGGCCATGGGGACATCCCACAGGTTGCGGACGCCGAAGCTCTTGCCAATCGTGCCTGCGATGTTGGCGACGCCGTTGACATGCTTGAAGCGCTGCTTTGTCGCGGCGAGAAAATCATCGACCTGGGTGCGGTCGCGGACATCGAGTGTCTGGAACAGAACCCGCGATATCTCCGACGCATCGAGTGATTCGATCACGCTGCGCAAGTTGCCGTCGTGGATGTCGCACACGCTGAGCGAGGCGCCGCGGGAAAGGAGTGTCCTGACTGTCGCGAGGCCAATCCCAGCCGCGCCGCCGGTGATGACGAACACTTTGTTGGCAAGCGGGGCGGACATTGTGAGCTGGTTGTCGCAGGAAGTGACAGTGAAGTGCTGGGAAGATAAAGATGGTTGAGTCTAGTTCTTATCTGCATCGGGCTTCACTTAAGTGGAGACATCGCCAGGTCGGCTTTCTGGCATTCTTCGGTTTTCTGCTTCCTCTCGGCAATACGCACCCTATTTACGCGAAAAGGTTATTGTTATATATGGTTTCTGGTACCTTTGGCATCAACATACAAAATAGAAGCACCTAGGAGCTTAGAAGCAGCTCTGCATCTTGACCTGCGCGCCATTAATTCTCATCTCGCGGTACTAATGCAGAATCCATACCATCATCTGCACGAACATGGCGTCGCAGCAAATCCCATGGCCACCCCCAGTAACAGAGTACAGGCTACGGAAGGACACTCGATACACAACTGGGTTCGACGAGCAAGGGCGCAGCATTGTCCTTGCGTTCCCGGCTCTGAGGTACCGCGATCGAGGGATACGCGACCACCCGATCATACCAGCACGAGTAAATGCCGACGGATATTAATGACCACCGAGATTTGATGCACTACCTGGCAGTCGAGGGATACGACCGGACTGATGGAGACACCGACTCAGGACCATTCCAGCTCGGGAGTCAGCTGGGTGCGAATCTCGTCCAGGGTGACATGAGGCACTCGTCGCCTTCTGTGTGGCGTAGAACTATCTCTGTGGATTCCCTCACCGTCGTAGACCTGTGCTTTCCGTGGGTAAAAGCGACGGGGGCTGTACTAAATGACATTTGACGCAGGGAGTAAGGTGGCCAAAGTCGTTTATCGCCCTTAAAAATATCTAACGAAGCGTAGGATTCGGTGATCCAGAGGGAGAGAGACTCTGCAAAATGGGTGGATCCTTCTCACAAGAAGTGCGCTCGCTGGGTCGTCGCGACTGTTGGGAAGTGTACTGTTTAAGGTTGATAAAATGTAGAATAGCTGGCAATCAGTAGTTAGCTAACGGATCTCAGGCCGTCAGGATTTAACGGAGGCTTATTACGCTTCAGCGGCTTCACTCATACCGCCTAGCGTCTTCTTGCAGACCATTCGTAAATACCAGAGACATAAAACGAATGTCTGTGCAGACATATTATATTCCTATCGACAGACTAGGGTACTGCAGCGCCAACGTTGATATTCGCGCCAAAAACGCACTTTGAATCCTCGCTCAAGAGCCAGACAATCACTCGAGCCACATCCTCTGGCTGCATTGAAGTCCATCCACTTCTGAGGTAATCTTTCTTGACGTCGTCTGATACATCAAAAAACTTGTTGAGCATCGGGGTGTTTGTCACACCTAGAGAAGTATTAGCGCACATGCTCTACGGAAAAGGAAAGTACTTAGGACGCATACCAGGGGAAACGCAGTTTAGACGAATTCCGAGGCCTATGGTATCCTTCGCCACGCTCTGTGTCAAATGAGCGCAGCCTGCCTTCGAGGTTCGGTAGGCGTAAGCGTCAGGATTATGCTGCAGCGAAGCCATGCTAGCTACATTGACGATTGCGCGATCCGAGGCAGAGGGGAGCTCCTTCATCGCTCGAACGGCGGCCCTGGTGCAGTAGAAGACACCGTTCAGATTGACACTGAGGATCCCATCCCAAGCGCTGTCCGTTTCTTCCACAATCGCGGGGACGCCCCGCGCGCCGATGGGCTGGGGAAGCCCTGCCACGTTAGCAACGCCGTGCAGGTCTCCGAAGGTTGTGATAATGTCCTGTATCCAGTCGTCGACGGACTCGGAGGAGCTCACGTCAACGATTTGACATCGGACCTTGGTGGATGGGTTAAGCTGGTTGATTGAGGCTGTCAGTTCGGTGAAGTGCTTATCCACGATGTCGGCGATGCAAATAGCGCTGGCGCCTCGCTCTGCTAGCAGGCGTGCGGTCGCTGCACCCATGCCGGAGGCACCACCGGTGATGGCATAGACTTTGGAAGAGGCCATGACTGCTTAAGTTAAGAGTGTTACTCACCTATGGATGCATGATAGTAGTATGAAGTATGAATTTATACATCGATTCGGTAATGAGGCGAAACATAATAGGACAGAAAACCGAATACCAGGTCAAGGCCGGCAACAACAGTACCCAGTGGGGTCACTCTGTAACGAAGCCAGAATGATTATACTGGCGGACATGAGTAGGCGACAGGAAGTTACTCAGGACGGCAGCCCTGCTACTTCAGGGAGGGCAAGCTTTCATCGAGCGCGGGGTTGACACAGTTGGCCTTGTCATGGCAGCCGGGGCGAGAGACACAGCATGCTCAGCCAAATCCTTGGCCCTCCGAAGCAGCATGTGCGTAAGCCTTGCTCGCATCGCGGTAGGCGCCCCAGATCTGTTTGTGTCGCGGTCAGCTGCGGGGAAGGCCGAGCCATAAGCCTCTTCGCGATGGTCAGAGCATCCCATGCAACTTTGGTGCTTTCAGCCCCGCTGGTTTCCAGTTTTTATTCTTCCAGTGACCAGTCGCCTACATAGATCGGACAGTCGCTGTTCCTGACCTCAATGATCGCAGCGGGGACACACTTGGTCACGAATCCATCTGTCTCCTGGCACTCTGGGTGGCATCCTTCCTGAGGAGCCAAACTAGCGCAGTAGGGTTGCCGAAGTTTGTGGGGTAGCCTAGAAGGCTCAGATCCATAGTCGACATTGAAGGCGTACCTCTCCCTAAATGCCGAGAAAACCGAACGCTCGGAGTTAGCGGAATGGGGCGACTTCACAAGATCGAGGAACCCGTCAGGCGCACCTGAAATGAATAATCCAAGGAGACAAGTACGAAAGCATCCGTGGAGAGAGACTTGCCGTCACCGGTGCCTGGCGTCTGCTCTTTGCGTGGCGCGGACACCCGGGGGAATAGTGCCTCTTGTTGTGGAAGCACTCGAAGTAGGCAGCTGTCCCCCAGCCGCCAGAGAGCTGAACGAGGAAATACACAGGCATTGTGGGGATTGCCAGTGACCTCCTGGAATGGAATGTGGAGCTGCTCGGAATATGATTCAAGACTCGGTTAATCATACCATAAAACTCAGACGCAAGAGGTTGCGCTTAAGTCTGTATTACCGCCACTCCGCACATTTTCGGCGTTGAGTCACTCACTGACCAGAACTTCTACTACCCCAAAATGCAGCCTTGATCCTTGCGAAGTTACAGGTTGTCATCATGTGCCATCGAAGGCCAGACGGTGGCAGCGCACCATGTCCTGCGTATGTCCTGGCGACCCGTCTTCTCCAAGACAAAAGCTACATACCTTATGGCTCTTTTCAGAGGCACAATGATGCAGAGGGTGACCGTTTCGGCTACTTCGGAGGCACACTAGCTACGGCCAAAACAATTCCAACCCGCCTCATCCTCCGACGTCGAACCCTGCAACTGCCACTAGCAACCAGCCCACGGTGGCCCGATTCAAAGACAGAGCCATCCTTAGCGCAACTATCCGGTCTCCTTGCCGATATCATTGTAATTTTGGAGTTAAGCAGTCCTGGGGTGTCAGGCCACCCTTCGACAGCGCACGGTGGAGTCCTGGCGAGCTGCTTCGACGAGACAATGCACAAGGCTGTCATGGCACACTTGTTAGAGACCCGACAAGTAGGGAAGCCTTATACGGCGCAGCTTGATATTCGGTATCACCGACCTGTGCGAGTTCCGGGTTTGCTCATTATTCGCGCAAAGGTGGTAGCGAGGACAGGGAGGAAATTCTGGGTGCGTGCGGTTGCCTCCCAGCAGCTGGATCATGGAGAGGAAACTCTCACAACTGATGCGGTTGCATTGTTTCTGCAGCTGGGCGATTCGACGACATGTCGCCTATGATTCCAGGGTCTGTCTCGGTCTATGTATCGATTTATACGGCAAATTACCTGCAGGGCTTTGCTACCTGAGCGACGGCCATGTTGGACGGGTTCCTGCTTCTAGATTTACACAATGTGCAAGATATCACGACTTTCCTGGAGCCGTCGCCAGGTAAAATCGTGCATTAGCATATTTACAACTCCGGTACATTGACAAATGCGCAAAGTTAGGTTATAACGCACATATTTTCAGTCCTTGGGGCGCTACAATATACTTCAACGCCGTCCAGCGGCGCAAATGCACTGGCCATAGCCATACTCTATAGTACTACTACCGGTACAGAGGAGCTCGTAAGAAACCCAGAGACGCCTAGGTAACCATATCAAGCACTTTACATGCAAGAACCCATACAAAGTCGACTCTCTAGATTCATTCCGTGCTATAGCTCCACTATCACCCAAGATACAACAGCAGCTGCCGAGATGGGCATACAGTTGTGAAAGAAGCTTCATATCGCTTTGAACCCAACTCTTCGAGATGTCCCCCAATGGAATGGGCTCTTTCGCCAGATCCATGTGTTAGGGACCGGTAACCCATTCAAACACGGCCTTCTGGTTTGTGTACCGATTTTGTTCGGTTAGGGAACTTTGTCCTTAAGATGTGCCAAACTAGGCCTGATTTTCAGCTCAACAACAACAAACTGGTCATTCCCAATCACTCTAAACAGAGAAAGTCCGTAGTCACAGCGGAGTCGGTAGTGGCGACTTTCTGCCCGTCTAATACAGCCTTGCAGTTGAAAAGTGGTATCCCGTTAGAACCACGTGTTAGAAATAGAGACCATATCTTCGTGGTACGAGGAAACCTCACCTGCTGTGTTAATCTTTCTTTGGTGTCAATGTAAGCAGCGCAGTGACTGGGCCAGTAGAGTTCCGTCCTGGTTGAGGAAGCCTTTGAGCCACGGCTGAGCTTGTAGTCAGGCATTCTCGCTTGGCTATCAGTGCTCCGACAAGGACGTGCCTACCAAAAAGTTGCTCCCGTAAGTTACCGTTGTAACATCGAGAAGTGCCGGTCTTGAGGTGCGCATGACATCTGATCTGCCAGTGCATTGGCGATGCCATGAACAATGCGAAGAAGTGTGGGGATCGCTGTCCGGCTCAAAGTCCGACATTTTTCGGACCGTGCCTGAGCGTATCGGCCTCCGTCCATCAACCTCCTAACCCCTATTCTTAGGACGCTTTAGGGTGGGCTCGGCTTTTAATTATCGACGGGGCCTGAACTTAAACAGCGTTTCAACTTTGAATCCTTCGTTGGCCGATTCCCATCAGCCACGTCTTACGTAGGGATGGGAATACGACGGCGACAAACCCGGACTACCTAAACAGAGTGAATACATGCCAGGGGAGAACAGAGGCGTTGAAATGGGGCCACGCTCAAAGCCTATTCGGCGGTACACGAGTGTAAAGGCCAAACTGGCTTTCTCAATTTCAGTATTCAGACAGCGCAAGATAAGCCAAATGCTTGGGGAGCAAATGAAGACACCCTTTGACTGAGATTGGATTGAATATGGGGAATATACGCAGTCAATACTCGTTCAACGGTCTGACTTTCTTAAGACCAGAAGTCATTATTCGTACCATTCTGCGACTAACGATGTAATCTGAGACCAATGATTTCCATTCTTGTCCTAGTACGTCAAGTTCACCATCACGGTCTTCACCTCAGTAAACGCTTCCAGGGCAGCCCTTCCATTCTCCCGGCCAATACCGCTCTGCTTAGTTCCTCCAAAGGGAGCATTCAAGAAGTAGCGACTAATGAGATTAACGCCAACCATACCAGAATCAAGGGCACTCGAAACCCGCAGCGCGCGGTTGATATCTTGCGTGAAGACCCCAGCCATGAGACCGTACTCTGTTGCGTTCGCCTTGTGGATGACTTCTTCTTCAGTTTTGAAACTATTCACAATCACAACCGGACCGAAGATTTCCTGCTGATAGATCTCAGCATTCTGAGGGACATCGCAGAACAGAGTGGGTTCAACAAAAAACCCAGTATCCCCGACGCGCTTGCCCCCAAGAACAAGCGTACCCTGTGTCAACCCGCGTTGGATGAACCCGGTCACCTTGTTAAACTGTGCTTCGTCGACGAGTGGCCCCATTAGAGTGGTTGGCTTATCAGGATCGCCAATGGCTTCGCCCCGCTGCTTCAAAGCCGCCTTGAATTTCTCGACGAACTTATCCCTAATGCCTTCTTGGACATAGACGCGGGATGCCGCAAAGCAGACTTGTCCCGTGTTTGCTGCAATGCCATTGACGCACCATGTAAGAGCGTTATCGAGGTTGGCATCGTCAAAGACAATAGCAGGAGATTTTCCACCAAGCTCCAAAGTGACCCTCTTCAAGTTCGACTCTGCAGCCAATTTTTGAATAATTTTGCCGGTTGGAATAGACCCTGTAAAGCTGACTTTCCTAATCCGAAGGTGACTTGCCAGCAGTGCGCCGGTGGTGCCGTCTCCAGAGAGAACCTGCACGACGCCCGGTGGGAACCCAGCCTCCTTGATCAATGGACCCAGAGCAAGCCCTGCAAATGGAGTCTTCTCAGATGGCTTTAGGATGAATGTATTCCCGGTGGCAAGTGCGGGTGCCATTTTGGCCCCGGCAGTCCCAAGCGGGCCATTCCAGGGGACGATGCCCGCAGTGACACCCAGGGGCTCATGACGAGTGATTTTGAGATAGCCATCCTCCTCCGGATAAGCATCTCCTTGAAACTTGTCGATCCAGCCTGCATAATACCGGAATGATTCCGCGGCAATGGCAATCTCAAATTGACCCCATGCAAGGTAGGGGGCACCTTGTGTAATCCTGGAGAGCTCTGCCAGCGTTTCACTGTGTTTCTCCAAGAGCGCGGCAAACTTCAGCATGATTTCTCGTCGCACCACGCCTGTCAATGACCTCCAGCCTGGGAAGGCTGCTTCGGCCGCTTCGACGGCACGATTCACATCGGCCTCGTCTGCGAGAGGAACGTTTTCGGCAACCAGGGATCCATCTCTGGGGTTTGCAACAGAGAATACTTTGCCATTCTTCGACGGGACATACTCGTTGTTGATGAATAGTTGACTAGGCAGGTTTGTAGAGTTGAATGGTAGAGAAGACATGATGATTAATTACTGCGAAACCTCGATAATAAGAAATGAACTTAATGTAGATTGGTTGGGTTTTGAATCACATCCAGGACTCATTTCACCGGGAGAGTCAGGCTTATATATGCCGTACGGTTGTGGCCTTTGTAGGAATGAGTATAAGCCGTGCTATAGTTGACTATAATAATGCCATGACGGCATAAGCGCCAGCGGGAAACTGTTTCTTCTCTTTTTTTTTTTTTTTTTTTTTTTTTTTTTCCCCATT